CTGAATAGTCAACATTTTAAAATGTGGTTTGACAGCTATTCAGTAAGGCAGTTTACCTTGAAAAATGTTTATTGGAAAGTACTATGTTTCTATATCCTAAATTAGAAGCAGAGCAGTTGCATTTGAAATTAGCTTTCCAGGGCTCCATATCTAACAAGCTGATTTGAAAGATTTATCAGTCAGTAAAGCTTCTTCATTTATGGCCAAAACACAGTTTTCACAGAGGGAAGTTGTTTGCAGATTGGCAGAGCTGGCAGATGGGTCGTTCTGGGGAGGTGTGGAGCTTTAGCATGTAAGCTCAGAAGCTGTTGTGGTGCCTGTTGCAGCCTGCAAGCTGCGGCACTCCTTGGTGAAGCTGGAGAGGACGGTCCAGCTGGCCGGCGTCGAGTCCAGGTGCTACTCCACGGAGCCCGTGCTGCGCTGCACCAAGGGCTGCTCCCCCACCAAGACTGCTCCTGTCACCGTGGGCTTCCACTGTCTCCCTGCTGGTAAGGCAACAGGAATCCCACCAGAGAGGAGCTGAGCAGAAGTATAAATAGATTGTCACTTGACTCAGTTATTCCACTTGAAAAACACGAATAATATAACGTAGTCATAGGTAGGCATGGACTTACTGCCCTACTGAATGAAGCCCTTTCCCTGTTTTATTAATAGGCAAACATTCCTTCAGTGAGGGAGGTGGTTTTCTATTGTACATTTATTGTTTTCATTGTACTGGGATTAAAATCTAAACTGAATTCTCCTTCATGGTGCTTAGGTAAGGTAAGGGCAGGACAACAGCACAGGCAGCATTTTGATTCAGCTGAAAAGCTGTGTACAGCAGCCTGTGCAGGCTGAGCCATATAGGACCTCAAGTGCAGCACCCCAAAACAGGGATTCTTGCCTTGCATTTTTTATATATTGCTGCCTTTTGGTGTGATCCTACTTCACTGAGCTGGTTTAGGTACTAGAAGGGCAGGTGGGGACAGGATTCTTCACACAGGTCCAGCATCATAGGAGGATTTATTTTCTATGCATTTATTGTAGATTATAAATCATTAGATAAAGAAGATATAGATTATATAGAACATAGAATTGTATCTGTTTTCCAAGTTTTATTTTCTTAAAGATAATAATACCCTTTCCTAAATGTATCATTAATAAAATTCTGCATGGAAATAATGACTTTAAAGGTAGAACTGGCTTATTAATGAAGTGGGTTTCCTGGAACATCTCTGTGTGAGTTAGGCAAATACAAATATGTAAATCAGTGAGGAACAGCCAAGCCTGCTGTAATTAATAACTAGTGCATGGTAAATGCTGTAGCTTGCAGAACTACTTGTGAAGTAAATAGTTTAATTTTCATTTCTTGTTCCCCATCAGATTCAGCCACCGGCCTGACAGACAAGCAGATGAAGTTTGACCAGAAGTCAGAGGATATGCAGGACACTGTTGATGCACACATAGCATGTTCTTGTGAGGATGAAAATTGCAGCACATGAAGCTGTACCCTTGCAGCATAGAAGAAAACATAAACACTTTCATATTTTTATTGTGTGGTGTAAAAAACTTGTCTTAAGGTATAATAGACACTAAATAAAGTACTTGAGGATCTCGTATGTGGAATCTTCCTAAGTAATTTAAAGTATTAAACCTTATTATTGTAGAAACTGTTATGATTGCCCATAAATATCTGATTTCATAATAAACCCATGCATGGAAAAAATTGTGAAGGCTTCCTTACTCGGTGGTGGAAAGAGAAGGTCTGCATAGGTTTTCCTTATCCCCCATTTTGTAGACTTCTTGAGTTTGTGGCCGTCTTCTATGCACCAGGGTTACACTGGGAATTGGGTTGGGTAGCTGTGGTACTACTCCTGCTTGTACCCTCAGTGCTTCCTTCCCTGGTGCTGGGATCCTGTGCACCTGCAGCAGAAAATGATCACCTTCAGTTCCTGAAATGTGAATCAGAAAATGTGATGCTGCACCCTGTGCAGCAGCCACACAGCTGTGGTGCTTGGCCAGGGCTCTGTGGTGGGCCAGTGCTGCTGTAGGGAGCAGCAGGCTCAGGGAATAAACCTGAGCCTCATGTCCTGGGCAAGGCTGCTCTGGGGGAGCCAAGAACACTTTAAGTTTCTGGTGTACCACATGCAGAAGCTACAGTGAATTGGTATCTTTAAGCAGGACAGGGTGGGGCTACTCAAGCACAGCACCTGCCAAAGGTTCTGAAGCTGAGCCAGACCGCTGCACTTTGGGGGAGATGCCCCCACCTCTGTGCCCAGCAAGAGTCATCGCTGCAACCACCCCAGGTGGGCTCTGCCTCCTGCCCCCCACCACAGGTCTGTGTGGGCATGGTCAGGGAGAGCTCATCTGCCCTGAGCGGTGGAACCCAAAGCATTCCAGCAGACCTGGAGGCTGTTTTCTGCTTGCCTTAAGGCAGTGCTTGCAGGCTGAGTATGCACACTGGGTGAATGGGATTTTGAAAATGCTTGAGAACATTCTGTAAAAATTGTGGTGTTTTGCTCTCCCCAGCAGCTTTTGCACCTTCAATGGGTGCACACACCTGAGTTTTCTTGTTTGGATGCCAGTTTTATAGTTCAGAAAGATAAAGTCCTTAGTACCAAAAGAAATACATTTGAAAAGTCTAATACACCATTCTATGCAGTTTAAATGCTGCCATGGTAACCTGCCGTGCAGAATGATGGGGAGCTGGCAGCAGCAGTAAAGCCATGAGCTGGTGGGTTTACTGCTTGCCTGGAACTCACACAGAGCAGTGATGGAAAGCACAGGCTCTTCAGGAAACCCTCAGGCTGAATCCAGCAGAATCCAGGGCTTTATGTGGCGCCTGTGGGCAATGCTGGCACAGATTTCCAGCTCCAGTTGGGGCAGCCCACGGGGCTCTTCTCTTCCCAGCGTGCCAAGGCTGGAACACAGTTTTGGGGGAATTGTTTTCTAGCAGCCTCAGCATCCCGGTGTGCTGAACCCTGGCAGTGCCACCCTGGCAGGAGACCCTGGGTGAGCATCACCCAAGCACCAAGGCAGGCAGGGCACCCGTGGGACTGCAGGCCATGTGGCTGGAGGTGTCCCCATCATGAGGGCCTGGGGAGAGCCCCAGGCAGCCTCTGCTTCTCTCCACCACTGCCACTGTGGAGGCAGCTGAGCACAGATCGAGGGAAATGGGCTCAGCAAAACTGTCACACTCACAGTTTTCTTAGTTTTTTTTTTTTTTTTCCCCTCTCTTTTTTTTCAGGTTATATCCTTCCAAGTAATACTAGTATAAAAGGGCTGTGAATATATGGAGGCAAAGACTGGGAGTTGAAATTGTTCTTGAGGTACTGAAGAAGTGACCTAGAAAAGGAGAGGTTTCAGTTTTATAGAGAAGTCACTAGAGACAAAGCCCTTACCAGCAGGTTTAGGTGCCCCTTAAAGCAGAAGAACAGATGTGCCCATGGCAGCAGCAGGGCTGGGGTGACTGGGGATGCAGCATCTGCTGCCCAAAGGGAGAGGTGGGGTGGGATGGGGACAAGATTCTGTGTCTCTAGTCTGCAGTGCTGGTGGTTTTGGGGAGACTCTGCCCTTGCAGCTGGGTGCAGCCTGTACAGCTCCCAGTGAGGACCCTTATTTGGAGGAATGTTGTTTGACCTTTATTTTGAGAAGTCACTGTTATAGTGGGATGTTTCAGTGATACAGTGTTATAATTTTGAGAATACAAGCCTTGTTACATTTAATATTGCCGTCACAGCAGCTCTCTACTTGTATTGCCACTGACCGCAAGTCCTTGCTGCCTGCAAGATGGTTTTTTTTTAAACCCAAACCTGTGCAGCTGCATATAGTTATGCCATAATAGCTTTTGAGCCTTGAGTACCAGTGGCCAATAGCTGTATGCTCAAATCCTTTAAGTACGTTTATCAAATCTCCAAAGACATGACAGAACTCTCTAGTGAGAAAATGAATCCAGTCCCTTCCCACAGCGAGGTGGGCATCAGCAGCTTTGGTTCCCACCCACAGAGGAGAAGGTTGGTAGGGAAGCAGTGGCCACACAGTGCCAAAATGAACCCCCTTGCCCTGTGCTGATTCCTGATGGAGCAGCTCCATGACCTGACTGGAGGGAACAGGTGAACCCAGGAACAAAGCCAAACCCTGGAGCCCAGTGTAGCCTGAGAGATCTGTGGGTTTGCCTAGAGAGGGACAGGGAAAATGCCTGCTGATGAGAGAGAAGGGCTCCATCACGGGGTGAAGATGTCACCCCTTGTTGTGTGATGTGAAGAGTTTGGGTAGTCTGCACATTGTCCACCTTTGTTAAACCAAAAGGTTTGATCTGTAACACCTGTCAGCCTCACCCCATCCCCCTTGCCAGGCATCCCTCACCAACACCTCTCTGTGGCTAAACACACCAGTGAAAGGGGCTGGCACATCAGCCCTGGGAGAGAAGGCGGGTGAGGGAAGTGTGGACGTCAGCAGCATTTAGCCACAGCCCTTGTGACAATGACGGGAGGTTTGTGTTACTGGGTGAAGTCCCTGTCCCCAGAAAGCAGCACTGTGCTGACAGCCTGTCCCACTCACAGCAGGGCAGGGGTGGGCATGCTGTCACAGGAGAGCTGCCTGGGGCTTTGCACAATCCTGCTGGGGCACTATCAGTTAGATAAGCTGTGTGTCTTATGGTCAGGTCAGGATAACCCAAACAAAGTCAGCACAGACTGCAATAGCACCAGGTGCTTTCAGGGAGTACAGATAATTAGTAGTTTTAATATTAATAAATTTTGGCTTTAACTATGTTTTGATACTTTTAAGTAGTTGTTTCTAAAGGTCCTTTCAAGGCATTCAGTCGATGAAGTGAGAACAACAGAACTTGTGATGGTTTTGGTTCAGCAAAAATATCCATTGCCCTGACCCCAACCTCCTCTCCCTCAAAGGGTTTGTTGGGTGGTTGATAAGAAGTTGATAACTCAACAAAATTCACTGTGCCTGTTAATAATTCTTCTATAAAAGCCACAGATTTCCCCCTGTGGACACCAGTCACTTTTAGCATGAAGGGACTCATCCTGGCCCTGGTGTTCGCCCTCACGGGTAAGTTGAAGCTTTACCATCACTGTTGAGCTGTGACAGCCACTGTGATCCTGAGCAAATTGCATCTCCTTGGGGCTTTTCAGGGATATTTACAGCTTCATTTGCTGAAGCCCTTCTATAGCTTCAGCTGTAAATTGTTAAATTTCTGTGCTAAGCTCAGCAGCCAAGCAAGCAGCAGCTAGTGAGCAGGACTGGCATGGGCTTGGTGTCCTGGGGGTGTGGGGTGAGCCCCATTACTGGTGGTTTGCCAACCATTAGCACACTGACTTAATGAATAATACATTAAAGGATCTACAGAAATGTTTTTTTTTTTTTCATGAACACTTCTCTTTCCTTCCTCACAGAGGGCCAGAAGCAGGACCTTGGTAAGTGTCTCCCCTGCCAGGCAGCAGCTCCCTTGCTGCCTTCCCTTGGTGTCTTCCCTTACTGCCTTGCCTTGCCCACTGCGTGCACCTGGTTTTTGGCAGTGGCAGCTTCACCTTTCTTTGCTGGGCTGGTTCAAGTAACATCACAACAATCATAGCCAAGGAAGTGTTTCTGTTATATTTTTCTTCCTAACAGAGCCTGTTTTTCATATGGGCAAGACCTACCTGTATAGCTATGAGAGTCTCATTATGCATGGGCTCCCTGACAGAAGCCTGGCCATGGCAGGGGTGAGGCTGGCCAGCAAGGTGGAGATCAGCCGTGTGTCTCACAGTGACCACCTCCTGCAGGTAAATCTCCATGGCCACAGGAACCCACCCACACACCGATATCATGCAGCTAAAGATGCTTCCTTCATTCCTTCAGGCTGGCAAAATAAGTGACAAAAAGACATAGAGCTCCCACAAAAGCTATGGGCCCTACCCACTGCTGAGATGACCCTCCAAGCCCCAGCAGCTTCCCTCAGGCAGTGATGATTCCCCAGCAAGAGCAGAGGTGTGGACATGGGCACTGAGCTCTGCACACCAAGGCATGATGGGGAGAGCTGAGGGCACTGCTGAAGGGTCTGCAGCTGCATCCAGAACACCTTGGTTACTGGCAGGGACCTCCAGAGAGCACCACAGGCTTACTCACAGCCTGCTCCTCTGCAGGAAGGAGCTGGAGCTGCTCCAGCTCTGCTGCCACCAGTATGTGAGCCCCCTTCTAAAGCTACCTTAGATTCACCTCCATACAAAAATATGGCTGGCAGCTGCTTTAAAGAAACATCCTTAACATAGTTTTACTAAGGTAACACTAAGCTTGAGTATGAGCATTCTAGAATGAAATATCCATGTTTTTTAACCTGGTCCATAGTCTAAAAAAGCTCAGCACTGGAATTCAGATACTACATGAGAAAGACCCAACTGTGTCCATTATCCCCCTTCTGATATTCTTCAAATAGGCATTAATTCATGTGTGAGAATTCTTATGGTAGTGCCTGTGTTTATCATAATGATATCAGATCTAGAAGCACTGTTACTCACCAAAAAGATTAAACCAAACAGCTTAAAATACTGGCATGGCACAAAAGACCACAGACTAGGGATTGAGAAGACAGCACCTGGAGAAAAAGCTGTAAGAGCTGCCCTTAGCACTCACCTAGGAGTTTTCTCAGTCTGTAATCCTGCACATATATTAATGAAACAGTGTGAAGAAATACCTATTGTCAAACTTTACACACTGCTGCAATTGCAGGCTCTGTGTAACCTCACGGGAGTTGCTACAGTGTTAGCAGTTGCAGACAAGAGCCTTGAGTAGGATTTAATTTGAGAAAATGTGACAAGAGGCAAGCCACCCTTGCAGCATTGATTATAAATGCCTAAGATAAAACAGAGCACTGAGCCCACACCTTTTCCCTCTATGCAGGAACACGTACTTTAATGCACGAGGGTGGGAGGGGTGTGTGTAAGGGACCAGATGGGTCTGTGCATGCAGGCACACGCTTCCCACTAGGTAGCAGTCAAGGACTTGTGCACAGGCTTTGCAGCCAGAGGAGCTCAGAGGAGTGTCTGCCACTTCCAAAGGTGGAAGTTCCTGTTGTCACCTCTGCTCCCCCATCAGCTGTGCCGTGGCTTTGGCGCTCGGGAGCACCAAAAGCAGCAGCCAGAATAGTCCCTGTGTGTCCAGGCAGGCAGCTTGGGCAATAATGGCTTGGCCTTGCAGACTGAAGGGAGATCTCACTTGTCATCTGTGGGAAAGGAGTGAGTATCCTGTCTGTACTGATTGTTGGTAGCTGGTGTTTCACTCAGCCTACAAGCTTCATCAGACTTGCTGAGCTTTTGAATTCTGTTCACATAATCTTATTTTTCTGGCAGAAATCCTTCAGGGAAGTTTGCATTTTCAAGGATGCTTCCTAGGCCGAGCACATGAATCCGAGTTGGAAACTGTTTCTTGCAATGTTAGACAAATGACTTTTGTCTTGCCATGGATAAGAAGTGTGCAGTAATACAGTGTTTCTGTATTATAGCACTATTTCAAACTGATGGTGAACAGTATGATTGTTTTCCTATTTTGTTCACAGATTCGATCACCAAAACTGGAGGAACACAATGGCTTCTGGCCCATCAACTCCTTCACTCCATCTTCGAGGCTCTCAGAAACCATTGCTGCATGTCTCAGCCAGACCTTTAAGTTTGAATACACTGAAGGAAGGGTTGGAAGTATTTTTGCCCCTGAGGACTGTCCCGTTCTGTGCACTAACCTAGTGAGAGGGGTTCTGAACATGCTGCAGTTAACCATCAAAAAATCACAAAATGTGTATGAGCTACAAGAGGTTTGTTTTTTCCATTCTGATTTTACTTTTATTCTCATTTTACCATTAAAGAGTAAGTTCTATTTCCCAGACCATTTTCTTTGACCTTTTAATTGCTGTTTCAAGTGGACATTCACTGTGTTTAACCAATACTTGCAGGCTGGGATTGAAGGCATCTGCCAAACCAGATACGTTATCCAGGATGACAGCAAGAATAACCGTGCCACCATTTCCAAAAGCAAGGACCTGATGGACTGCCAGGATAAAGCAGTGAAGAACCTGGGAATGGCATACATCCGGCCCTGCCCCACCTGTCCCCTGGTATGAGCACAGAGCCACCGCTGCCCTGCTCGGGTGTGAGCACTGCTCACACTGATGCTCGTGGGGCATTGGCTTCTCTGGGCTGACCAGCCCATCCCTGTTTCTGAGTGGGTCTCTTTGCACTTCTAGAAAGCCAGAAACATGAAGGGCACTGTGACATTCACCTACAAGATCAAGTATGATGACAGTGGGGCATCACTGACATCTGCTATGTCGGACCAGGTGTACCAGATCTCTCCTTTCAATGAGCCCAACGGGGCAGTAGTCATGGAGGCAAGGTAGGTACTGTGCATGTCCTTATGTTACCATAGCCAGGAGGAGACGCCTAAAATTTGCTATATATTTACTGTTGATTTGTGAGATAACAAGAAGCATCTGGCCTGTGCCTGCCAAGGGCCAAAACACCATTCAGCCCTCAGGATGCCCAGCCCAGGATGCCCAGAGTGTTTCAGCTGGCCTGTGCCCTACTGTGTAGGCCACCTGAAACATCTGTCCAACCTCTCAGAGACTTTAGGAAGCTCCCACAAAGGCTATTGCAGTCCTATGGCTTTTCCAGATAATCCTGAGCAATGGATGAACAGAGAAGTGCACGCTCCATTTGCAGTCCCGCTGGGTAGCCCTCAGTCTGCTCCCGTGCTGTGCAAGCCCTCCATGCACAGTGTGGTTACTGTCTACTGATGCATTTCCCTCTTTCCCTTGAAGACAAGAGCTGTCTTTGGTCGGCACTAAAAGGCCTCCTCTCAGTGCACCAACATCTCAGCTGCAAAACCAGGGGAGTCTTCGTTATCATTTCTCAGGAGAGCTACTCCAGATGCCAATTCCTCTAATAAGGATAAAAAATCCAGATTTGCAGGTATTAGAGGCTTACTTTCACCCACTTTCACTATTTATAAGGTTAATTGGTCATCACATAATTACTGTAGACGTGGATCCTTCCAACTGTCTGTTTTTCCCACAGTTAACAGAGACACTGCGGCAATTAGTTCAGAATAATGAGAAAGGAGCCACTAAAGAAGCTTCAGCCAAGTTCTTACAAATGGTCCAGCTTTTTCGTGTAGCAACCCTTGATCAAATCGAGTCTTTGTGGCTGCAGTTTGTCAATGAACTCCCCTACAGGTAACTGTGGCTTCAGCCAGGGGTTCTGATCAGAGGCACATTGGGCAATGAGGATAATGAGGATAATGAGTTCTCCTTTTCTGGGCAGGCCCTGGTTCCTGAACGCCATCTGTGCTGCTGGAGCTACTGACACGTTCAGATTCCTGAAACAAAAAATCCATGACAAGAAGCTGAACATCTGGGAAGCAGCAGTGGCTCTCCCTCTCGCCTTCCATTTTGTTACACCAAACAAACAAACCCTGGAAATTGCCTCAGTGAGTACAAATCATTTGTCCTTTTATTTTCCCTCTCACTCCTTTTTAAAGGTGAATTCATAGGATTATAAATGAAAGATACAACCTATTTCCATCTAAATTTGTAAAATGCAAAGTATTAACAAAAATGGAAAAAGCTTCAGAAAATGTTCCCTAACACTTGTTGCTAAAAGTTTGTAATTGTATTTTATATTAAACCCCACAAACTATAAGAAAACTGCTGTTGATTCTTTTTGCCAAATCAGAACTTAAAAAGAAAAAAGACAAACTCTAGAAAATAATATATAATCAGTATCTAAAGAACATACAGCATAACTGGGGCAAATCTACTTAATTTCCTTGTAGCTGAATGTCTAGCATTTAAGTCCTGAAATTATTTAGAAACAGCACAAATCAATTTTATCTATTTCTCAATGCATTTATTGATAAATACAACTCTAATTACTAGAAACAGTAAAAAATGATACTTCTCCTTCCGCAGAGTTTTCTGACCTGTCCCCAAATCCAGAAAGTACTGATGCATAGGATAATTGTTTACCTAGGATATGGCAGCATGGTGAATAAATACTGTGCTCAGGCTTTACTATGTCCAAATGAACTCCTTCAGGTATGTGACTCTCATTTCTTACTCATAAAAGGTGAAAATTTTTTAAAAGTGCCTTTAATTTAGCTGTCAAAATGCTGGCAATTAGGTAACTCACTATTTGCATGCCTCACTCAGCAATGCAAAGGCAGAATGAAACACTGAGATGATGCCTTTAAAAGATCAGGCTGTAACAGTTCAGAATTTCAAAGGTAGTACTAGAAACCCATTGGGATAATGGATCCTGTAACCAGCCTGAAACTGAGTTAAGTTGTGACAAAACTTGGATTAAAGCAAAATAATTGTGATTCTATGATTCTACTTTGACATTAGGTAGAGTGTACTTAAAAACACAGTAAAGTGAGAATATAAACAAAATTCTAAATATGCCGTAGGTTAGGGCTTCTAAGGAAGCCCTGCTACACAATTGCATTTCACTGTCAGAAATATTCAGGACATTGTCCTTGGACTGTGCAGCTCCAGCTCCTTGCTCAGCAGGACCACAGCACTGAGAAGGCCTTGCTGGTGTTTGACATGTGTTTAAATCTTCCCAAAAAAAGCAAAATAAAGCCAGGCCACCAGAATGGTAATTCTGCTTCATAGAACAGCAAAACTGTTCAAGTAAACTTGAAATTATTGTAGGAAGTGAAAAATGCAAGTGCAGTTTGGCAGGGCTGGCAGAGGTGGCCCTGGGAACGACTGAGCCTGGCATCAGCTCAGTACTGCCTTTGAACTTGCAACAGACTCTTTGGTGCAGGGACCCAGCTAGGATTGTCTCCTACACTCAGGCTCAGGCACAATTCCAAATCAACTATAGCACTGTGCAAGGAGAAAACCAAGTTTATTTGTATGGTCCGTGTTTAGCACCTTGGTAATGATGGTGAGATATTTTCCTGGAAGAAAAGTCTGAACAGCTCAGGTCTGGGGTTTGCAGCAGTAATTGTTTTGCTCGGCAAAGTGCATTTTTACACACTACTACAAGATAATTACCTGGTGAGATTAACAGTGTCTGCTCCATTTTCAGCCACTCCACGACCTTGCTACTGAAGCCACCAGCAAAGGTGATGCCAAAGACATGTCTTTGGCCCTGAAAGCCATGGGCAATGCAGGAGAGCCAGCCAGTATCAAACGCATCCTGAAGTTTTTGCCAACATTTTCCTCAGCTGCAGCTTCATTACCAAACAGAATTCATGCTGATGCTGTGTTGGCCTTAAGGAAAATTGCAAGAAAAGACCCTGCAAAAGTAACTGCAATTATTATTTAAACAAATGTTTTAAAGGGTATGGATTGGGTTTGCTTAGTGCTTCAGGGATTACAAAGCCATCAGGTAATGTTAGCAGCTCTGGACAGGCTTCTCAGTTTACTGGTCTTCCTCTTGCCCACCCTGCAAACGCCTGACATCATCCCATCCTTGCTGATATCCTGGGAAAGAGTGCTTTAGTTGCTGCAATGCTCAGCTGTTTCTCCCAGCCCTGTTCACTGTGCACCCAGCAATATCTTCATTTTCAGTGACAGCTCCCATGCCCACATCTCTTGTTTAGCCTTCTGCTCTCCATCCACTGCAGAGCACATATGCACTGTTCTGGAAGCACTGCTCACCAGGAAGTTATGGGCTACTCAGTGGTTCTCTCTTCCTCCTGTAGGTAAGGGAGCTCACCCTCCAGGTCTTTCTGGACAGCACGCTTGCTCCCAATGTCCGAATGGTGGCTTGTGTTGTTCTTTTTGAAACCAAGCCTGCTCTTCCAACAGTAACAGCTCTGGCCAGCTCGCTGCTCACAGAGCCCAGCCTGCAAGTTGCCAGTTTTGCATATTCACACATGAAGACTTTGGCAGCAGGCAGGATCCCACAGCTCTATAAACTGTAAGTAGAGGAAGAAGTACAATTTTAGTAGAAAATTGAGATTTTTTTCCTTGTAGTTTTCTAAGAATTTGGTCACAGTCGACTCTCTTCATATGATTTTAATTCTGTTACTCAGATCTGCTGCTTGCAACATTGCCATCAAACTCCTGGGCCCCAGACTTGACAGGCTGAGCTATCGCTACAGCAAGGTCATCCAGATCAGCGACTATTCTTGTGAGTACCAGCTGCCCTGTGCACTTCCTCAGCTTAGGTAGCCAAATGCCTCTATTGTGTTCTGTGATTTTCATCCAAAATCTAATAATGAACTGTGAGTTTAGTGCACTCTTGAAATAGAAAAAGCAGAACTTCCTAACATGCAAAATTCCCTGAGACTCTTCCAAATCTAAATCTCTGGTATGTGCTGGGGAAAGTGGTGCTTGCACATGGATTTAGGCCTCCTTCTTCAGTCCCTGGGGTTGTGTTGACTCTGCCCTAGAATAAAGTCCTTCTCTTGAGGTAGCAAGCTTGAGAACCTGTGGGACTGAACCCTCACAGAACCCCTTGTGATCTACTAGAGCAGGTACCTGAGGTGGCTTATGTGCATCAGACATCTTGGAGACCCTAATTTCTGCTGCTTTTTATTCCTGTGACAGCCCAGTATCAGGCTGGTGCCATGTGGAGGGTCTATCTAATGAACAGTCCCAGCACCATGTTTCCATCTGATATAATCACAAAAGTAAGAGGCTATTATGCAAACACTGCAACGGATATTATTGAGGTAAGTACTGCATTAAGGCAGACAGCTTTTGGACTGTGATGTAATGTTTAACTCCATTTCTGGCTGCGAGGGCGGACGTGGAAGGGAAAATTTAGATAATGATTATGATTTTACTTAGGCTTCTTCTTTTATTTGGGCTTCTTGACACATACATTCATCAATGAACGCATCCAGTATAGGCATGTAAGTCTAGGAGCGGAGGAAAGCTTACACAGCAGAACATCCATCTGCCCACCTAAAATCACGTGGGATCCAGGGTATTTTGCATAAATACAGGGAAATTAAATTTCAGCCAGCAGTACAGCCAGGGCAACACAAAGCTCCATGTAACAGCATGCAAGAATTCACACAGCTTCTTGAGCAAGGTTTGCAGCCTGAGCTGAGTTCTGCACTACCCTAAAATTATCCCTGCTGACTAATTTAAGACTGGCTGGCTCAGCACGTCCTCAGCATCTGCAGCCATAGTCTGCAGCCATCCACCAGGTAGAACAGTCCTTATAATGCAATGGCTTCACGAAACAAGTATTTTGTGTGGCCTCAGTGAGTTAATCCCAGGCACAAGAGTTTTCCTGGGCTCTCTTGTACTTATGTTGTGATGCTTGCCTGTTTCCCACAGGTGGCTTTCCGGTCACAAGGCTTAACCAAGCTTATAAGGAAGCAGAACATTCCCTTTGCTGAGTATGACACATACAAGACCCTGAAGGAGCTGGGGAAATCGGTGAGTCTGGGCACCCTTCTGACCTGTCTGTATCAGACAGCTCCTCACAGCACCAGGGTTACATCACCCACCCACTGAGCCATCCCTTTGATGTTTCTGGAAGAAAGGAGTCTGTCATCCCATTCAGTCATGGAAAGCTGTACTTAGATTGTACTTACTCTCTCAAACAGGTGCCACCTTTTCCCTCAACATGTGTCAGCTCTTAATGTATAGTACAAAAGATGAGGTTGCTGCTGGGAGCCAAAATGTTTTAAAGTGTATGTTAGAACACACTAAGTGGTTGTTCTTCTCTGTTAAAATGATAATTGAATAAGGTTTTTCCTTCATGAGTCCTTGGGTGTCACCTACTACTTACAGCAGCAGAAATTACCAAGCCCTTACCTCATCCTTACATGGGGAAACTCTCCCTGAAACCAGCTATGCAATACAAGAAAGGCCACACTGGTTCAGACCTGAAATGTGTCTTGGGTTTTTGGCTAAGGAACCACAGTTATCATCCTTCAGATGGGATCTGCTCTTTGTTAATGCATTGCTCCACTTTAATCTGTATTTTCTGCTTCTTCCCTTTCTCCACATCTCCTAAACACCACAGCTTCTGGGATGGAAAGAACTGCCACCTGAAGACCCCCTGGTATCTGCTTACATCAAAGTATTGAGTCAAGAGATTGCCTTTGTTGACATTGACAAAGATGCCGTTCAACAGATGATGATGGTACTGACAAGGATGCTGACTTTTTATCTGCAATTCTGAATAATTTCCCTTCCATGTCTCCTCTTACCTAACCTATTTCTCTATTTCCAGAGTCTATCTGGATCATCAGACTGGCAGCCAGTGGTGAAAAAAGTGGTGGAGGAGGTCCAGAGAGGCGTTTCGGGGCGATGGACCCTGCCAGTGGTGGTGGGTGAGATGCGGCACATCGTGCCCACCATTGCTGGCCTGCCGCTGGAGCTGGGGCTGTGCGGGGCCGCGGTGGCCCAGGCTGCGGCCGACGGTGAGCTTGGGAAGCCAAACTGAGCAGCTTCCCCACAGTAACTGTGGGTCCAGTCCTTAATTTCTGCTGAAATTAAATCCTTCTATAATCTTGAAAAATACCCCACTAATATCGAAACCTTAGTGACCAGCTGCCTCCAAAGGCAAAGAGAATTAATTAGGATATTTCACTTCAGACATATTTCTGTAACTCTGTTTTGGATTAGCAGCCTTTAAATAACCATGTAAAGTATTTCAAAATGTAAAAGCACTGCTCTTGCATTAACTACTATGCTTATTGAAAGTATTTTATCACCAGAATTTATTGTTTCTCTGTTCATATAATTTCTGTCTTTTTCAGTGGATGTAAAGGTGTCACCACCAGTATCTGACAATTTTAAACCCTCACAGTTGTGGGAAACCAAGATGGATATTCATGCTGACATCAGACCAAAGTAAAAATTACATATATATTCACATACACACATAGCATTTATATTTACAGTTACAGTTAGTTATAATTATATCTGACGTAGATATATGGTGTCATGTAGCTATACAGGGATCTTACTTGTCCCAGACAAATGTGCTAGTCTAGAGCAGCAAAGATGTGAGAAAGCAACTCAATCCTCTGATGCTCTACAACCCTGCAGATCCAGCAATGCTCATAGTATCCCACAGGACACTGTGCTGTTCTGCCATTGCTAGAAATGCTTACATTTGTACCTGTCCAACGACTAAAGACACTAAAATGTGAAAATATGTCATCTTACGTATCAAGTTTTTACAATTTCAGCATAGAATCACATCATCACCTGGCATAAGCCATAAGGATTTCAGGGGGCAAAGGGAAATGCTTCTGGATCTGCAAAAGCAACAGTACTAATAATGATAGTGGTTACAATGATGATAAAAATAATAGTAGTGATAATATTTAAAAAATAGACAGAATCTGAAGCTACGAGATTCTGGAGTTAGCTTGTCCTCAAGCAATGAAAATGACAATACCACTGACAATGCAGTCAGAAGGTCCATGTTTTTCAGACAAATCACATTTTCCAGTGGCATCTTAGCTTTTTTCTTATCCTGTTGTGATAAATCTCTTTTAGTAGTAGTGGGTCTTATAATAAAAAGAACAGCATGAAAATGTACTTTTGCAATTCAAAGTTAAATTTTTGCATATTAATATATAATTTTGCCTGGTTTTATTTCCACTCTTTCAGAGCATATTTTCATATGATTGCAATGATGGGGATTAATACACCATACTTTCAGAGTGGTTTTGAGTATCACGCAGAGTTCAGTGCCAACACTACAATGAAATTTGATGCCAGCATAAATATGAAAGAGAAAAATTTGAAGATTGAAACCCTTCCCTGCCATCAAGAGGTTGAGCTCGCAGCTGTAAGGTACAGAAGAGCTTTTTTCATTTTGCTTGCTCTGTGTTACTGATTTTAAGTTCCCTGTTATAAAATCACAAGTATACAACTACTTGCTAAGGTCTGCCATACCTCAGCAGCCACATAAAGCTTAGTACAGTCTTTTTTGCACCAGCAAAGATGGGTAGAGTGAAATCAGAAGGTGTTACTTGTGTGCCATTTATCACCTCCACAGGAGTGAAGTTTATGCTATTTCAAGGAACATGGAAGAAGTAGATTCTGAAAAGAAATCTCGGATTTTCCCCAAAGGAGAAATACCAAGTACCTCTGACCAGCTACTGCAGTCAACAGAAGGATCTTTAAAACCTGGTAGCTGGAAGGTAAGGAAGCCTCTTGCCACCTGTCCTGCAGACAGGCAGAGAGCAGAGAGCTCCTCAGAGGGCTGGGCACCCCTGACATGGGAGCTGGCTAACCAAATCATAGCAATGGAGAAACACAGGAATGGAGAAATTCAACAGGGGCATGGTATTTCCCAAACCAAGCTTAAAACCCAGTGGGTTCATAACATGATCCTTCATAGTCCACTCACTTTCTTCACTGCATGCAGGAAGGGCTGTTTTAACAGGATGTCTTCCTATTTCTTCACAGTCATGGGAAGGTGTCTGAAATTCACATCCTTTGTACAATATCTAATTTTTTTTCTGAATCAGACTAATGTGAAAAATATGGTTCTTTGTCAGGATATAGATTTTTCTTCCCAAATCCTGAGATAATCCTGAGTGGATCGCAGAAGCACATCCTTATATGTGCTCTTCAGCTTCTGAGGCTGGTGTGGGAAGGCTATGCTGGCTTGCAGCAGGAGGGCTAGAAGCCTGAAATGGATGCAGAGGGACTGACCCTCCAAAGAGCCCTGCAGGCTCTCATTGGGAAGTGTATTTGTGAAGCACTGCCTGAGATAGGGTGGGCAGGAGAGCTGTCCTCTTCCACAGAGCATTTTGACGGAAACCCACTGCTTCCAGTGCCTGGATCTCTAACTCCAAGCATTGCTTCTTTCTTTAAGCAGGACTGTCGTCATTCTCTTCATTAACTGGAGGAATTATTTTAAGAGCTGGGACAATTTTATTTTTTTATGGGAAATTACTTTATCTGCCTTATTTTTGTTTAATGCAGCAAAGCAGCATACCTAATGTGATATCCAAAGGATACCAGCAAGGTTCAGAAGAGGTACATGACAACAATGCAGGAAGAAGATTTTATGCACGCAGGTTCTGTAAAAAATTTGAAAGTTTGGGATGTTCTACTTGTCTCAGCCTTAAATCACAAAATTCTGCTGTCTTAAGAAATACCTATCTGCACAAATTATTTGGAGAATTTGAAGCAAAAATAATTTTAAAGCCAGGTATAGTCATAATAACAAGTTTTGCTGTAAATCACTGTAAATAATGCTCAAGCAGCTCAACCCTGCAATGCTTTTGCCTTTAGTTCATACAGATGCTGATATTGAAAAAATACAGCTGGAGGTTCAAGCAGGATCCAAAGCAGCTTCAAAAATAATTGAGGCATCAAGCTCAGGGTCAAAGGAAGAGGGAGAGGCATCTCCATACAAGGACATTAAAGCTAAACTGAAGAAGATTCTAGGCATTGAAGATGTGTTCATGGTAAGAGACCTTGAGCATCAGAGAGGGAAATATTTCCTATCATGAAGCCAAGGGTTTCCATTATGGAAAACTGGCATGGGAAAGCAAGGAACTGGGCTGGGAGGAATTCTATTTCCTTAGTAGCCTGTGGTGAGCATCTTGTCTGACAGCTAGGGAAATGTTAAAGAACAAGATATAAATTCATAATGCTTTCAACTGTTTTTGGAGGCTGCAAATAAAACCCGTCGCCGCACGAAGCGGATTAACCGAGAGTACGAGACTGCAGACACAGGCCTGTGGGCAGAGCCCAGCATACCCCACCTCTCCACTTCATCCTCCTCTTCTGCTGCTTCCTCTGCTGATGGCAGACAGCCTGGAGATCACCACAGGAAAGATGAAATAAAGCAGTCTGGGAAGAAGCATAGCAGCAAGAGCAGCAGCAAGAGCAGCAGTGGGAGCTCTGCTAGCAGCAAAGCATGCAGCAGCAGCAGCAGCCAAGAGGACCACTCTGGGGACAGGCACTGTAGTGGGGACAGTGAACAACAGGTAATTCACTCTGGCTGGACCTTTTTGTATTGGTTTTGTACATCAGAAAACAGTGCTCATAGACCATGGACCAAAGAAAGAGGAACCCTGGTTCTCTGAAGCATTTCAGATAAGAATTTTGATATTTCAGAATTTTTAACTGTCAAATGTTTAAAAATTTTAATTTTGTTTTGTGCTTTCTTTTTTTTCCATACTTAAAACTGAAATTTTTTATGCATTAATCAAAAGTTAGCTCTTTATTTTCTCTTGGGTTTTCTTACGTGCTATCTATTTTCACAGGCAAACAGCTTTTGTTTAAGCCAGCAGATGAACAGGTACATTTACTGCTTATACTGGGAGCAGCGTGTACAATTAGTCTTGCTGCCTTTGCTACAATTAGATCCTAGCTTTCTGAGAGTGAAAATATGATAAATTAATTCTGCAACACATTCCAGTAGTAGGCACCTGCTTCAAGGTGATTCTTTGTTTTTGCAGGACACAGGAGGGGAAATACTGAACATCAGCATCAGCTCTTCCTCTTCCTCAGCTAGTGATGAAGATTTCTCTAGAGCCATGTCTCAGGTGAATGTCTTAATCTGCAAGAAATCCAAATATTTACTTCGCATTTCCAGTTTTTGTGTATTTATAACAGATAAGAAAATTATGGTGATTTAGCATATTAGGTATATAGAAAGAAATTGAAACTGTTTCTTATTTTATAAAGGTGACCACATTGGATAATCATTGAATGTAATATTCATTTAATACAGGCTACATTTTTAAATGAAACTGGAATGTATTGCTGTATATGTTGAAATTTGTCTTGCTCAGTAAATAATTCACTATAAAAATCAGAACATTTTAGAAGTGCTGGATTAGAAATTGGTTTCAGGGATATTTTCATTGTGTGTCTTCCTGTAAAAGTTTAGGAGTTGACTCTGCCACTCTTGTTCATTAGGTCCTCACTGCAGAGTCCTTCAGTTCGTGTTAGCAGGACCACAACAGGCCTTTGAAAAACCCTTGTGTTTGCAGCAAGGCTCCAGCTCTGAGAGCAATCCAGGCGTTTATTCAGGAGTGTACTGCATGGTACATAATTAATGGTACCTGGTCCTTCTATTAGAACTGAGGGAATCTGGAGCAGATTTCAACCAAGAAAAATTTCACACATTGCAGGCAATTATCTACATGCCTACAAAATAACAACCCTTACTTTGCTGAGGCATGCCTTCTGCAGCAGCAGCAGCTCCCAGCTGTTAGTGCAAGTAGCCAACACAGTCTTACTTGCATTGGTCATGCCAGTGGTTTTACTACCATAATTCTAATGTCTTCTTATGTTTTTGGTCTCTATTTCCTCTCTACTCACCAAAGCCTGAATTCTTGGGAGACAGCAAGCCACCAATCCTGGCTGCAGTTCTTCGTGCCATCCACAGAAACCAGCAGCCAACAGGACTGCAGCTTGTCCTGTACACTGATACACAGCCCAAGAGGTGGAGAATACAGATGTTTGGTTCAAGCATCACAGGACCAAGCAGATGGAAACTCTGTGCTGATGCTTCAGTAATAAATTACCGAAAAGTATCAGTAAGTTTAAAATATAAATAAGCTCAAATATAAATGAAACATAATGATCTTGCTGTGTTTTATGCAAAAATTTATTTATTTCCCTCTACTAGGGTTCTCTTAAATGGGGTAAAGATTGTCAGGACTATCAGATTGCTACTCAGATTGCAACAGGGCAATTTGCTGCTTATCCAGCTATGCAGATGAAGCTGGAGTGGCTAAAAGTGCCTTCAGTAATCCGAACAACTGCAAGATGGTGAGATTTCATTTTAGTTTTTGAAAAATATATGTCAATGCTCTAAATAATTGCAGGTTCAGTTCTGCAATATCCAAGCTGGAAAAAAAATCCTCTAAGTCGGTAGGATTTTATAAAATCAGATTACATATGTTTGCTTTCTCTGTATTCATTCTCTCAAATCATACTGCATTTTTGCTTACAAGAAAACCACTTGGGATGATGGGATTCACCTAATCTATTGCAGACTTGTAATTTAAAGTGCCTGAATTAGGAGATTGGTCTTGTCATGCTTCCTGATTTATGGAGGCTCAGAGCAGAAGCCTAACTATGGGTCTCTGAAGAAATCAGTCTCTTACTTAATTTCTTAATGCAGGAAGTTGCCTCTGGCTTCTAAGGAAAGTGATACAAATACTTCCCATAAAGCTTATGCACATTAAATAACAAATGTTTTATGGCATTTAATGTAAGAAAACTGTACATTCTGGATTCAGTTCACGTGTGTCTCCTTTTTCATGAAATATCTGTTGCATTCTTGCATCGTATCCCTCCATGCATTTGCCTGCAATAACATATAGATCCACATTGAAGCCTATTTTTTGGCATAGTGCTACTAAAATACAGTCCTGACAGCAACTCAGTTAACTAAATACATGTACAACCCAAGTTTTCACATTAAAGGCATAATTTGATTTGATTAAAAGTCTCCTGAAGAAGGTAACTTTTTACATTAGATTGAATTACCCAAAGCTGTGATTTGTTCTTATTAGAGGAGATGAAACCATCCAATTGACTATCCTGGAGCAAAGCCATAGAACTTACCTTTTTTTTCTGCTCTGAGACTATACCTTTTTATAAAGGAATATTTTCTGTATATCTCTATTTGAGCCCCAAGTTTGTTTGGAAGCATTCCTAAAGATCCCTCCATCAGCTTGTTGACAGTCTTAGTGGGCAAAGGATCCTTGCCTAAAGTTACCACTGCATGACTGACATATGAATGTGAAATATTAATTTAGTATTTTTAGCATGTTAGTATTTGGGGATTTATGTAATTGATGTCTATTTTTAAGTCTGAATGTGTTTAAAACAAATTTGCCACACTTTTTTCTCATGCCACTCTCTCATCCAGCCTCTTGAAATCTTTTACACCAATTAAAAAATAAATTTGCTGCCTCTTCTTCAATATACAACATAGTGTATCACCCTGGTGCAAAACATGCCTTGATGCTAACACAGAATGCATATTGTTTTATAGGGGTATTTTAATGTGAACAAAAAATAACCATTCATTTTAATAAATTAGGTTTTGTTTTTTTTTTTTTTTTTCCCAAGGTTTTACTCATTTCTTCCAGGAGCTGCCTATATGCTTGGATTTTCCCAAAAGGAACAGCTTGGTCCCTCTCACCAGGCAACCTTGGTCATGGCTTTGACATCCCCAAGAACCTGTGATGTTGTCTTTAAGCTGCCAGAGGTAACAATTTCCACCAGCTTTTATTCTGGAGCAGTCAATACCTAGGAAATGGATGATTAAGGGCTTTTTTTAAACCTGCTGATTAAAAAAAAAAAAAAAACAAAAAAACAAACCCAATCAAAACTATAAAGAAGCTGCCTTCAGAAGACATTATATTCATGCAGTTGGTTTTACTATGAAAATATCTTACAACATACTTGTCTTTCTCATGTAGCGTACAAGTATATGAAATCAGAAACAGGTTAGAAAGCAATCATCATGATTGATAGCACATTAAAAAATAACTTATTAAAAAGCCCACTCCTCCCAAAATCTTTATTCCTGTGCTCTGGAAAAGACGGTAAAACCAGGCTATTGAGACAGACAAACAGCAGCACTTGATGTATATGCAGAAAGAGGGTGAGCATCTCAGGTATGCAAACTGTTCAGCCTGAGAAAAAATGTGATATACAGCTACCCAAAAAGCTGCAAATTGGTGACTATCCAAATTCATTTATAGCACTGCTGTTCCACAGGTTGCAGATGTGTCACACTGTAGAACTAGTTCATACTCTAGGCAGAGGACTTGATTTCTCTTTCACTCTGACTGAAATTCAGATGCTAATTTAGATTTTAGTCAGCACAGTACCCTTGGAAAATTACAAGAAAATGCTACCTTATCTCTATACTGAACTTTGCATTTCCATTCATGTTTGTTTCCTGCCTGATTTTCAGCTCACAATTTATGACACGGCCATCAGCCTCCCCCTGCCAGTCCCTTCACACCTGGGTACACCCACTGCAGCATTACCATCCTCTGCCTGGAAGGTCTTTTCCCAAGCAACACTTTCACTCATTGCAAGTCTTAAAGGTCAGCAAGTAACTATCTGCACAGACATTGATTGACTTTGTAAATTTTGTAAGCATGATTTACACTTTTGATGTAAATTTTTTTTTTTCACTTATTTATTCACTTAAAAATCAGATAGATGTCAGATAGAAACAAAGCATCTCTATGAAAATCTGTGAGGCTGCAAAGATGTAAAGAAATGGAGTCATAATAGGAAGATTAAACTTTCAGTTCCATGCCAAATAATACTTTCAAATACATCCATTCCCAAATGCATCCATTTCAGCTTCACTGCAAAAATTGTTTGTGAAGAAAATAAAATACTAAATTTGTGAGAGAAACATCTAAGTGATCTCTGATTTGGGGTGCTCTGCTTGATTAGCACTGTTATGTTGAAGCTGAAATAGCTCCAAAAGTATACTCATTAATTTTAAATCCTTTACTTTGAGTTTGGAAGGATTATTGTTTGATTAATGCTGTATTAACAGCTAATCACATTATACTTACTTAGGGTAAGTTTTAAAATGAAAGGCTTTAGGTAATCCGGCAATAAGGAGTCACATTTTGCTTGGAATCAGTGGGATAATATCATACCATGCATATTTATAAGGTGTCCCTGTCCATAGCAAGAGGATTGGAATTAGATGATCTTTAAAGGTTCCTTTTAACCCGAGCCATTCTGTGATTCTATGACATTTCTTAGGTAAACACAAAAACTAATCTGTATTAACTACAATTGTTGCAAAATAATTTCTAATCAGAGCTGGTAGGATTTCCAACAAAATGCCATTACAGTGAAAAAGACAAAAGTGCAGTGTGGTATTTTTTCCTTCTAACTATTTCTCATCCTGGTTATAACTTCATAAAGGTATCAGCATTTCAGTAAGCTTTCTCTAGTGTTAATGATATGTGAATTGTTATCAACCCTTGTGAAATTCTTTTGACTACAACAAAGTTAGGAAAGCCAAAATGCCACAAACTGAGAGTTGCACCAGCACCAGCTGTGAGCATAATTCATCTCACACAATGCCTGAATCACGGGGGTGTTGTCCTACTGCCTGGGGTCTGGAAAAGTTATACTTTTGAATTACTACAAATCTAAAATTTTATCTGACAGAATTAATTCATTTCTGCATCAGAACATGCAGAACCAGAAGATTATTTTTCTTTTAATTACAAAACTAAAATAAAATAGCTGTTTTATATAAATTATAAAATGCTTACTTTTTACTGGGTTTTTTTTTAGGTCACTGTACAGTTTTCCAAAATAAGATCACAACCTTCAATGGTGTTGAATTTAACTATTCAATGCCTGCAAATTGCTACCATGTCTTGGTGCAGGACTGTAGTCCAGAGCTTAAATTCCTGGTGATGGTGAAAAGGCTTGAAGAGTCTGCTGACCTTACAGCAGTAAATGTCAGACTTGCCAGCCAGTAAGTAATTGAAAACTTAATAAAAAATAGATGCCAAGCTGAATATGCTATAAATGAAGATCAGATTGGTAGGGCAGACTGCCACTAGCATTAGACTTATGCAGAAAATACTGATGTCAATGGAAAGATATCTAGGAGTGTCACTGGGGTTTGGTACTTTGTCTTTTAAAAGTGCTTCTGAAATATATCTGAGGTTCACAGTAACCTCAAGACTTCACTGCCTCAAATTCTTCATTAATTTGTTAGAGTTTAACTGTCTCATTTCAGTACTTAATGATTAGGCAGACATATAAACTATAAATCCAGAAAGGGCTATTGTAAGCAGTAGTCTGGCCTTCTATACTAAGCTAATAATTAGAACAAATTAGAACCCACACTATTACAGCAGGGTTGTTGAGAAATGGAGATAGCTAAAAAGGACATTACTTATCCCAGATTAGAGGCACTCTCTTAGAACATCTCTTAGTTGGTACATAATGCTATAATCTACTTGAAATTTATTTAATACACACTTTGTTTTAGCCTGGAGCAATCACCCCTAAATTGTATGGGATTATGCATACTAAAATCGTTGTAGTGAGTCTTCTTCAAAGCACATAAACAGACTTTGATCTGTAAGGTTTCATTACAAGTAATTTTTTATTTCTGAAAAATGTGTGCCTAACTGTGCCATAGTGCTAGAGAAACAGAGGGAATCTACATATTCCCTCTGCATTCCCTGCACCTGTTTTGTAGAAGAACACAAGGATGCTTGTTTTATAGACTGTATCTTTTGTGATAAAGACATTCCTCATCACTGAATCATTCCTGATTGTTTCATACAATTGTATGGATCTGCTTTTGATGTGCTTGAGCTTCATATTTCTTCTATTAGAGCAAACACTGCTCTGAAGAAAATACTACAATACACAGACTGTTCAGGCTGGAAGAGAACTGCCCTAAGGAATCCAATCTTACTTTGAAATGTAAAGCACCTTCAATTCATGTGAAGGTAATAGCAGTTAGGTTTGTTCTGCAGCAAGGCTCCTGTAGCCTGGAGTCTTCCTGCCTGAGTCCTGGCTGCTCAGAGAGAGTGCAGCCAGGGGAGGGTGTACTCAGCACTGCTGCTGGCACGCTGCCCTGGGCCCCCTCACCTTCCCCCTAAAGGCTAGAAGGTGATCCACACCAGAATGATATCAGCATCCTGCAGGGATGTTCTGCCAGAACAGGAAGTTATAAGCTGAGTAGGGCAAAGGAGAAGCATTTGTTTACACAAATTTCCTTTATTTAAAGTGAGGTGGAAATGTATGTTTCCAATGGACTCATCCAGTTGAAGATTAATGGTGTCCAAGTCCCAAAAGATCTTCCATACGCATCTAATTCTGGTAAGAGACTCATATTTAGATTTTGTTTAATCTTTCCTGATCTTTTGAAGAAGGAGAGGATATCCTGCAAACACCCCACAAAATAAAGATCATCCTAATTTGAGAAAGAGGAGATTTTAACACACCCCCATGTAAGCTTTTCTAATGAGTGGCAAAAAAGATGAGCAAAGAAAGAGATGCTGATCCAGTGCATCTTTGCACAGACCAAAAAAATGCAGGACTGTGGTATGTTTTTCTGATTCCAGAGACCCACAGAACGAGAATTTAGATGACCCCCATCACAGCCACACCTGTGAATGGCTTCAGCTTTTCCCAGGGCAGGGTTCAGTAGTCTTTTTACTTCCCACCATCTCTTTTAGGATTCTTTAGAGTGTGCATTATGTCCCCAAGAACTTAACAGATGGTTCAGGGTGGACCCTAAAACAGTAACTTCATTTTAGAAAAGATCACATTTTGCTTTTTTGTTGCAGCTGCAAGCATGCTGGTCAGCAGTGAAAAGAAAGGACTGACACTAAAAGCCCCAGATTATGGCATAGATAAACTATACTATGATGGGCATAGACTTGAGGTAATTTTTAAGTTACTTTCAGTGGGTTTAGTTTTAGAAGAAAAGCATTTACATGCAACTTTTCTATATTTCCACAAAGATTCAACTTGCTCTCTGGATGGCTGGAAAAACATGTGGCATTTGTGGAAAATATGATGCTGAGATAGAAAGAGAATATCAAACACCCAGTGGATATTTAGCTAAAGATGCTGTGAGTTTTGGTCACTCTTGGATCATCTCAGAAGACCCCTGTGCTGGAGGTACTAAGACTCCAACATATATTAATATCATTGCCTTCAAGTAATCAATCAATCAATCACATGAAGAGGTGATTTATATTAATTGTAGCACAGTAATCTTGTTTTTTGCTATTTTTGTGATTAGTGGCGACAGACTAAAAGAAGAAAAAAAATCTAGTTCTCCTGAGTTTGATAGATCACCGCAAGTTCTAGCTTTGTTGGTTTTTTTTATCAACAACTTATGCATTGTGTAGTTACCTGGAGTTTGTGTGTTCAACTTAAAACTCACTAAGCTGATAACTTAGTATGAAAAGGAGGAAATTTGACTACTGACAAAAGTAATTTTGTCATCTTTAACCATTTCAGTGTTTATTTTCATTCTGTTATTTCCAAGCTTTTAGTTTAAAAAATCATATTTAGTCCTGACTATCAAACTAGAGGGCATTTGAAGTGGGAAAAATTGTTTTAATTTCATCAGGCTGAAGATTAACACAATCTGAAAACTTCAGCCTCAGAATGACTAACTGTTCTTGCCATCCAGGTCCTACAAAAAAAATATGAATGTGCTGGTTACATTACAATGCACTACACATTTTGTGTGGAACACAACCCTCTGGGCTTGTGTTGGCCTTTCTGTAATGTTTTCTTAGATTAGGCTTCCCTGGGTTGACTGGACCAGGAAAGCCTGGACCACAGACTTCAGGACTAAGCTACTCAGCCATAGCAAGGCAAGTGTGATGCTGCCCACAGTACAGAAGAGGAAATATAGATGCCTAGGAGCCACTGCTGCCCCAAAATGAGGTGCTGTCCTAGCCTAATAGAGTGTCAGCTGACCAAAGTTTTCATATGCACCTTTCTGGATTTGGACATCAGTGTCCCACCCAGATCCCACCTGACAAGCCTCTGTCCTTACAGCTGTGCTCCACGTGCCTCATTTTCTCACCACCTGAGCCTTTCACAAAAAATTGATTCACTTCAACCAGATGAGCTTCATCTAGTTGTGTCACACTGTTCATCCATTGGTCTTAGTGTTTGTCAATTCTACAAATTAAGTCAAGTCCATCTATTTTTCTAGACTCTGTGCATGCTTTAAGGGGGTTCATATTTTGTAGGTTGTAAGCTAGAGCGCAAACTTGTCAAAAGTGAGAAGCCAATTTCATTTGAGAAGACAGCAGCAAAATGCTTCTCCGTGGAGCCCGTCCTTCGCTGTGTGAAAGGCTGCTCAGCAACCCAGACAGTGCCCGTGTCTGTGGGCTTCCACTGCGTTCCAGCCGGTGAGTCTGGTGACCCTGAGCACAGCACGCCCAGAGTGTGTGGCTGGGTTCTGTGAAAAGCCGCGAGGTGCTAACACAGGGGTACCCCGATGTACAACCAACCCCGCTCTCCTTTCTCCTCTAGACTCCGCTCTCAGCCTGGACGGGCAGCCTAGGCTGGACCAGAAATCCGAGGACGCCGTGAGCTCAGTCTCCGCTCACACAGCGTGTTCCTGCCAGCAGCAGGCGTGCCCGGCCTGAGCCCCGCACGGACCCGCTCCGGCTCGGCTCGGCTGCCAAGGGCGGCGGGGATGGGCCCGTCCCCTCAGGGAGACCGCTCTGTTCCGCTTCTTCTCCTGGAGATCCTGGAAACAACCCGGGCAGCCGCCCCCGGGGTGCCCTTTCAATAAACAGCTTCTCTGCCAACGCGCTCGGCCCAGCTCATTTGTCCTGCACAGGCGGCGCTGGGCCCGGCTCCGCCCCGGGGCCGAGGCTGCGCGGCCGGACGGACAGCGGCGGCCATGGGGCGGTCGTGGGGCGGCTGGCTGCTGCCCGTCGGCCTCCTGCAGCTGCTGGGCCCTGCCGGCGCCTGCCCCTGCCGGGACCCGCGGCTGTGCCGGCCCGTCACGGGCCCTGCCGGCTCCGAGGTGCGCGGCCCCGGCCCGGGCGGGCGCAGGCGGGGCCCGGCCCGGCGGCAGCGCCGTTCGCAGCGGCTGCTGCTCCCGGCGGCGCTCTCGCACGGCAGCCGCTGCGCTCCGCCCGGCCGGGCACTGTCCCCGGGCCGGGCAGTGTCCCCGGGCCGTGTCCCCGGGCCGGGCAGTGTCCCCGGGCCGTGTCCCCGGGCCGGGCAGTGTCTCCGGGCCGGGCAGTGTCTCTAGGTCGTGTCTCCGGGCCGGGCAGTGTCTCTGGGCCGGGCAGTGTCCCCGGGCACTGTTCCCGGGCCGGGCAGTGTCCCCGGGCCGAGCAGTGTCCCCGGGCCGGGCAGTGTCCCCGGGCCGGGCAGTGTCTCTAGGTCGTGTCTCTGGGCCGGGCAGTGTCTCTGGGCCGGGCAGTGTCCCCGGGCCGAGCAGTGTCCCCGGGCCGGGCCGTGTCCCCGGGCAGTGTCTCTGGACCGGGCCGTGTCCCCGGGCAGTGTCCCCGGGCAGTGCCCGGGCCGGACGCGCTCTCGGGGCTGCCCCACACTCGCCCCCCGGCTGTCCCTGCAGCCGCTGCCCAGCAGCGCCGGGGATTTGCCGGTGTGAGAGCCGCGGGGACAGTGGTAGTCCTGCTGAGAAGTGCTCGGGGCTAACGAGCATGCTTTTTACCCCTTTTCCAGGTATTCGTGTTTGATGTGGGGAAGGAAACATGGAAATCCTACGACTGGTCAAAAATTACCACTGTGGCAGCTTTTGGAAAGTACGATCCTGAGCTCATGTGCTATGCCCACTCCAAAGGCTCGAGGATAGTGCTGAAAGGTTGGTTACACTGGAAAAACATGGGTGTTTATGATACGTGATAAGGTACACAGGGCTATATTACCTTGACATTTTACATTCGGTTGTATGCAGAGTATTAAAATCATTAAGAGAATGAACTGATAAGCCTTTAATGAACCCTTTACATTTGCATGTACTGGTATGCAGGGTATTGAAACCAACAGTGGATCGTGCCACAGTAGTAACCAGAACATCCCAGTGACATCTTAATAAAAGTTCTCTTAACAGGGAACATCATTGCTATGGAGGAACAGGGAGGAAAGAAAAAGCCTGTTATTTGGGTCTGTATTCTGGATCTTATGTGGAGTACCCAACAGAAAAAGTAAGGAAAGGGATTTAAAGTAATTTTTAGTATTTTGCACTTAAATGAATCCGTCTCTATTAGGAAGTGGCTGAGTTTTAAAACATGAATACTCGGGAACTCTGTGCAGGTACAAATGCTGATTAGAAAGACATAGTCCATTAGCTTACATGTTATAAATACCTTTTGGCTCTGTTGAGAAAAAGCAGAATCCAGGACTACAGTGTGGAAAGCAACAAAGGTTAAACACAGAAGTAGTTTTCCTCTAAATATGACCAGTTAAAATGCTAAAAGTACTTTAATTTTAAAAAAGGTAATTTACAGTGGTTAAAAGAATATTAAGCAGAAGTAAGATGATTAAAATTATAGAAAAACCAAAGGAACTTACTTTTAATGCCACTCTCTCAAAGAACCTTGGTAGTCTTTTCTGGGGTGGTTTCTCAAAATTATGCTTGGGGGAAAAATGAACTCCTTTTTATTTTACCAATATTGATATGGGCATTTTTTATGTTGTACTTAAGTTTGTTGGTTAACTAAAGACAAACTTTTCCTTCCTACTATACTGTTGTGCAAATGCATGTTAACTCTTGAAGGCCTCTTGTCTAGGTGATGTACCTCTTCAGGAAATTGTTGATCCTGCTAAAAGAGCAGCATGGATATCCCAACAGGTGGACCTTGCAAAGAAGCAGTATATGGATGGAATTAACATAGATATAGAGCAAGAAGTTAATGAAACCTCCCCTGAGTATTATGCATTGACAGAGCTTGTTAAAGAAACTACAGATGCTTTTCACAGAGAAATAGCTGGATCACAGGTAAGAATAATGTACCTCATACAAACATTAAATTTAACCTTGTGAAATGTAAGGACTTTTGGCAGTGCTATTTAGCATGGGAATATGAAAAAGTTTATGCAGAACTAAATATAATATTCTAGTGAATGCTTAATTGTGAATATTAGCTGTGATAGAAACTTGTAAGAATCACTCTTTCTGACCCGTGTGAATTTAAATGAGAGATGGGCTTCGCTGAGATTTGTGGATAGAAGTTACTTCTATGTGTGAACTGTCTATTTTTAGTGTGCCTTAATGAGTTGTTGAAAGTAGGGCAAATACAGCCTTCTGGGGCAAAAGCTTGATAGTGTTTTGGTAAACTTATAATGAAAGTTTTCAAGATTTGCAGCATGCTTCATATTTTTGGTGGTTTTCATATTATGTTTTAATTTCTTTGGTGCTATATATTCACTAATGGGGTACTCACTTTATTATATTCTTGTTTTTTATCAGATGAGCAGCTTCTTTTATAGTTCATTATTGTCAAGATCTGTTAAACTATACCATTTGGGAAATACTGTCTTTAAAAGTCATAGCTTTCTTTTTTTTCTTTAAAGAGATAACAAGGGCACCCAAGGGCCATACTTGGTACTAAGTTGTGCATTTTTCCTTCAGGTAACATTTGATGTGGCTTGGTCTCCAGCATGCATAGATAAAAGGTGCTACAACTACACTGGGATTGCAGAAGCCTGTGACTTCTTATTTGTGATGTCATATGATGAGCAGAGCCAGATCTGGACAGACTGTATTGCAAAAGCCAATGCTCCTTACCTGCAGACTTTAGCTGGTGAGGATAGAACACCTCCCCAGGAGTCAGAATATTTCAATTTGCTCACATGAGTAGATAGAAAAGAGGGCTTTTTCTTAGAGAGAGAGGTTTATTTTGTTATTGTTGCAGTGAGGCTTTGAGTGCTCAGATAGGTGTTGTCAGTGTCCCTGATCCTTATGAGCCTGCAGAGAAACCTTCAGCAGTTCTGTGTTGGTCCTTGTAACCCATGAGTGTGAAGAATGCTTTTAGAATGACAAATGGCAGCCAGAGCAATGGTGTCTGCCTGGGACTGCAGAGAACCTGAAACATTTCTCAGGGCAGATGGTTTTAAGTGTGAGCAGCTGGAGCAGTTACTGGGCTCTCAGTAGAGCAAGCCTCTCACTCACTGGAGAGTGCAGGTGAAGGCAAAGGACAGCTTGCACCTTGGCCTCTGTCTGGGGCCAGTTCTTGCAGAACTGTCATGCCAGTTCTGCAGTGGCTCTGCCTCTAAATTAGTTGTAACCATAAAAAACATAGGAAAAGTAAGTAATGCATGTTAATTTTTATTTCTCTCAAAACTAGGATATGAAGAGTACATTGCTATGGGCATTGATCCTAAGAAGCTTGTGATGGGTGTCCCCTGGTATGGCTATGACTATGTCTGCCAAAACCTATCTGTGGTAAGGTGAAGATTATTTCTTTGCAATCAAACTGTTAATTTTTTTATTTGGAAAGATATGACTAGGTTTTGGTAATCTCATTTTTGGACTGGGGAATACTGTGGTCTGATGGATAAGAGCATCAAGCTGGGACACAAAACAGAATCTTCTCCTTGGCTGATGAGCAGTGTGTTACCAGACAAGGCATTTTAGCTCCTTAGGCAGCCTGAACCCCGTGACATCCAAGCACTGTGTTTGACTAAGGAGCTATAAATGTTATCTGCATGAGAAGAGATGATGTCCAAAGCCCTACAACACTTGTATGTGCCTTCACAACACCACTGTAAAGACAGGTGTGCAACAGACCATAGCAAACCTACGGCTATTACAGCATAGCAGTTTATGAGGTCTCAAATATTATACTTAGGAAAAACATAAGGGTCAATTAAAGGTGGAAAAGATAAGACAACCCTTTAAGTTGAAGGGTATCCATCCTGTCTTGTATTACTGCAGATTAAAGAAAATGTAGCTGTTTTAATTTACTTTCCTCTCTTTACTTTTTACTTTACAGATAGTATCTGCTGGATTTGCTTGAAGATTGGGAATTTTTGTGGCCCTAACACCTTTTGTGAATTGTTCTTGGCTGTACTCCTATTCTGGAGTTCAGTACATCTTACCTGAAACTCATGCCTCCCTGTTTGTTTTTCAGGATCATGTTTGTTCCCTTCCCAAAGTGCCTTTCCGTGGGGCTCCTTGCAGTGATGCAGCAGGGAGCCAGGTCCCCTACGCAGCCATCATGAAGCAGGTGAACAGTTCTCTTTCAGGGCTGCTGTGGAATGAGGTACAGAAGGCTCCATTTTATGAGTACAAGGTAAGAGTCTTTTTCCAAGCCACTGTGGTGTGGAGTAAGCATTCCTGAACCATAGATCTTTGACTATAAGGTTATTGTGATTAGATTCTTCCTTTTATGTTTTCTATGTTTTGTTTTGGTTTGATTTGCTTAGGTTATTTTGGTACAGTACATTATTGCTGAAAATTTGTGTCTTGAATTCCTAGCCTGAAAGAGGGGTGCAGTGCCTGGAGACTACAGGAGTAATAAAGATCTTTATTACTTTCCAGTCTTCTCAGGATACTGCATCATGTTAAAAAGGACATTTTGGCACAAAGACATCCTAAAGCTCCATCCTTCACTGTTAGTTACTTTCATGAGTTGATAAATGATTTAAACTAAAAAAGATTCTGAGATGCTTTTTATTTTGTCTAACTTGCTGTCTTGCATGTGTGTTCTCTTCTTCATTTGTTTTCTTCATAGACACAGTGAAAAAGTCCATAAATAACTATGCTTACAAGAACACCACAATGTATCCATTTTGTCTTGTTTCTTTAAACAATATTTAAGTTTCACATGTTGGTTATTAAAAAGATGTTGTAAGCAATGACCAGCAGCATAACCTTGATACATTTTATAACCTCCTCTAAAACTGTTTATTGCTTAAAAAACCCCACAATCTCTAACTAAATTCAGCTGTTAGCTTGGATACTGTATCTGAAATTTAAGCCGTATTTCAAAAATATTAAAATACAAATTAGCAAAGTCTTTTCATCTAACTTCCGTTAATTTGTGTCATTGTTTTATAACTTACATTCTACAATTTTAAAAATATCCAAATATTTGGCTTATAATTTTTATTTGTGTAACAAAGAATTGATAAATCAGGAAAATACTACATAAATCTACATAGCTTGTATGTCTCAATTTTTAGTTGTACTTTTAACTGTGTTCGAGAGAAAACGTGATCCCTGACGCTAGTGTTTAAATGTTTTTCTAGGATTCTGTTGGTCAATTCCACCAGGTATGGTTTGATGACCCTCAGAGCATCTCTCTAAAAGCAGCATATGTGAAGAGTCGAGGCTTAAGGGGCATTGGCATGTGGAATGGAAATAGTCTTGACTATTCCAGGGAAGCTGCAGCAGAACAACAAACTCAAGCAATGTGGCAAGCTCTGACACCATAAGAACAGTGTGAACCCTTGATTTAGAATGATGACAGTTGGTAACTTTTTACTTTGGCTTACACTCTCACAAATTTTGACTCTATATAAATATATTGTGATTACAAAAACCTTAAAAATTAGGCAAATTAATCTTGTTACTTTATATGCAAAGCTGTATTTTCATTCTTCAGAAAAGTTCTAATGTTGCTTTGGAACAACAATCCTTGCATCAGTAGGTTTTTTTAAGACTGCTCATCTTTTTAATTTTTCACAGTTACTGTAAGTTAGTTAATGCTTGAACCCAGTGTGTATCTGGTAATAAGAATTGATGGATTTACAGGGACAGTCTCATAATGATGCTGTGCTAAAGCTGCCAGGTGCAGCAAATATTTATTCCTGTGTTACATGGTGCAGTCTCAGCCTTCTGACTTCCCAACCCAAACACTATTTTAGCCAAGTCACTCTAGAATCAGATTAAACTGAATATTAGAAAGAAAGATAGATTGCTGATTATATGCAGCTTGGTTACTCTTCTAGATTAAAAGATTTGTATGAAGAAATTACATAATATGAAGAAGCTGCTGTTAAGATTTATATCAAACTTGTTGTTAGAAAGGAATATTCAATAAACTCCAGTTTCACTGTGCTTATGTATCACATACATTCCTTATTTTCAAAAGCCAAAAATCTCTGACCTTAGCTTGAAGAAGAAGCATTAATATGAAGAGGACTTGGATGATGTTTCCTTCCATTTGAAGCTACTTTACTTCCTGAAGACTAGAATTCAGAAGCTTACGTAATGAACTGCACATCTATTTTCCCACATACCCTAAGATTCATTCAGTAGCTTGCTTTTTCTTTTTATGGGATGTTGCCTCTGAGATAACAGGAGATTGTTTTCTTTCTAGTTCAGATTTTCATAAAATCATTTGCTTAAAGAAGTTGTATAATTTTTAAAAATAACCCATAGTGATGTAAAGATTGGCTGGTGTTTACAGGATTTGTTGAATAAAATGCTGTTCTTGGTAAAGCTTGTAAACAATGTTCCTTGTCTGTGTTTTACTTGTTCTACAGCTTCCAGCCCACACTGCTTGTCTGCTTCTCAGAACTGTTTCACAACCAGATTAAAGTGAACTGGGCCCTGCTTAAGTGACTCCATTACTTAAAAAAATATTTAATTATGTAGATGTAGTCAATTGTGGGTTTGGTGAGATTTTTGGTTTGGTTTGGCTTGGCTTTTTGTTTGATTGGTTGGATTTTTTTGCTTGCTAAAGGGTTACCATGGTATGGCAGCATTACGATAATGACTACTGAGGAAAAGACTGGAAAACTTCATCTGAATGGTCTGCTTCATATTACAGGTGATGGAAAACAGAAGGTGAAGCCTATTGCTCTTGAAGAAACTAAAAAATTCCCTTGACAAATCAGAAGGCTTTTCACTAGAACACCACCCTATAAATCTTAAGAGAAACGGCTACATTTTATAGATAATATATGTATATCTATATCTACACAGTTATGTACTTCAGAACATGTATTACTACTTAAATACTATTAGATGGATATTTGCAGGATTGAGAGTTTTCTGCTACAAATATCTGACCTGCAAAATTCTGAGGGCCAGCTGACTTAATAATAAAACTCTCTTTGCTGTAGCAGTCAAGAATCATTAATTGATAATACTATACTTTAAATGTAGGGTCTGATTTTCGAGTAGCTAGTAGCCTGCTTTCATATCTTAAATAAGACAAAATTTTTAAATACAGAATTTGAGCTTCAACCCTGAATAAAGAAAAACTGGGTGTAGTTTTAATAATTTATTTAATCCTTTAGCAAGAAAATCTTTGTTAAGTCCTATTTTTAATTGGATAATGGGTGGTTTGACTCAAGACATTTCTAAGTTAGTTCTTTTGAGAGCTGCATAATTTTCTCATCCTATAACTTATTTCCCATGAGTGTTTTACTTCCAGTAATAAATACAGCCTTGATAGCTTTTTAGCTGAGATTAATTCCTAGCATGTTATGCTTCTGCTTAATATAATAACATCTGGTTTGCAAAGAGGCAAAGAGTGGAGCTAGAAAAAAAAATCCTATGAAGAGGTTTCTGATTCATCTTTCAGAGAATTTTTAATCTCAGGGCATGCTTGACCTTGGAATTAAGGAAAGGCAGGATATGCAGGAGTGTAAATTGGAGCAGGAACATCTTTATACTGGTCCAAGAGAAAACTCTCAGGCAAGCTTTCTTACTACAGAAGACACTTAATGGCCATGTGCCTTTCCTAATAAAGGAGGAGACAAAACCAGCTAGATATGGAATAAAGTGAGATTATCTGAGATTTTGTTTATGCTTCATAATAATACATGGGTAATTTATAGATAGGCATATTTATAATGGCAAAAACATACTCCAGTAAATAGCCAAATAAAGGATTACTGTTGTTGTAGTTCAACAGAAACTATTTTAATAATTTCTATGAAATAGAATGTGGGAGACTGAAAATAAGAACAGGAGGTTACAGATTTTAGGTTTATTTCTTAGTAGCTATGTAGTTAATCAAAGAACATCTGCATAGCACTGGGATGTTACACAATTAATTAATTTGCACTTTAAAAATAGCAGCTTAATTTTAGACATGTTACTAGTTTACACTGTATAAGTAGCTGACTAATCTTACAGTAAGTGAAATTTTAAAATAAGTGAGCTGCATTAACTCAGTAGCCTAGTATACAAATTCCACAACATTTATACAGTTAATATATTTTACAAAGTAAATTCAAGAACATACAAGCAAATACTCTGAAATTCTTTTCTATATACACTAGAGAGCTGCTGTATCCTTCACAGATATTAGTCATGTCATCTTAAATTTCTGATTTTCTGGACTGAAGAATTAAAGCAGAATGAATCTTCTTCTGTGTCAGTTCCACTCTCAGTGCTCATAAATCAGATGCTGCCTGCTTTCTCATCTGCAAAAGAACCCAACATTTAAGGAATGGCAATTTAAGGAAGTTTTTTTTTGGAGCTGACATGCATATAGGTTTATATAACTAAGACTGAATTTTATACAGGATGGCTGAATAAAGGGTATCTTTCATCTTCGAAATTTTACATGTTCTGGAACTACTTTGTTGTATACCTTGCCTTGATGTTTTTGAGACAACTGCAAATTAATTGTTCTTTCCACTCCTTGCTAGACAATGGAAGTCATAATAATTACAACCACCCTGGAGTACCCAGTAAACAGGAGTATGGGCAATCTCTGTGATGTAGAACACTCTTATTAGCTTTCAGGGCTTGAAAGCTGTCCAGTGTGAAGGCATATACTAAACTACATCTTCCTTCTAAAAATTCATAGGCAACACTGGTATGGAATAAAGCAGATGAAGAGGTGTGTCATCCGCTTAGATGTAGTTCTTCAATTACCTTTTGAATGAAATGAGAATTGTAGGAATAGGATTGTGAACCTTAGCTCACAATCATAGTACATTGAGTATCTAAGTCACTACATTGAGTATTACATACATTGAGTATGCTAAAGTCACAACACCTAACACCTTAAAACTAACAGCATAAAACAAGAACTGTTTAGCAAATATCTACATCATCTAATAATTGAGACGTTCTATTTTTTTCTATACATTGCCACATTTTGACTGATCTAATTAAAAGGCACAGTAACTTAATTTCTATTAGGAGTCTCATTTTTGTATCATCTAGTTTCCTCCTCAGTTGATGGAGTTCATGCTGCACTGTAGCAATCCGGATGATTGTGTAATTCCGTGTGAAACAACAACAAACCTCCAAGTGCAGCATTAGTGTATCTGCTCCCTGGGTGTTACTTCAGCACCCAGAAGCAATCCTCCAACCGCCTCTTTCCAACTCCCCTGCCTTCCCACCCTGCTGCTGCCTGCCTGGCTGCACGTCGCTCACGAGGGCTGGGGAGCACCCCTGTGCTCAGACCAAGAGCTCAGGAAATCCTGGCTCCCTTCTCAGGGTGCTGGCCACTACAGAACCTCTGTGGGACTGGTACAAGGGAGACCAAAAAACCCCACCCCTGATATGCCCCTCAAAATAACGTGTCTGAACATAGCCAGCAATGCAATGTCAACCTTATTCACATTTGTTTTTTGTAGATATTTCAAGATAGCTCAAATAATACATGTTTGTATATAATATACACTCAGATCGTACATGCACACACCTTTCAGATGCAAGACAGAGACATTTATTTTTCCTAGGCTAGCTTCAGTTTTGTCAACAGCCTTACTTCCATTAATGCATTTAGAAAATCAGCAGACAACTGTTGGAAAGGGTGTTTCCTCCTTTTCTTTTATCTTTTCTCTTTTTAATCCCTCTGAACTTCCTATGAAACTTACAGCTGCACAATAGTTGAAGTGTAACTACTTCAAAAGCTACAGATACGTTTTGTATGCTCCAAACATTCATTGCCTCCTTGTATGAAATCTCGGACGATAGAAACAAAGTAGAACTGAACAATCCATTAACCATACTGAACAAAAGGGGATTTTGTTACAAAAAAGTACCAACAGAAAGCAGAAACAAACAAATGCTCAGACTCAAGCACTTCTGCAGTCTTTTTGAGACAAATGGCCTGAAGGAATTCTGTCTGATCATTGAGCTAAAGCTAGTTTACAAGTTATTGGTTGGTGATAAATCTGTTTCTTTAATTTATATTTTATACAAGAAAAGCTCAGACTGAAAAAAGAGATAATAAATAATACAAGCAAATACCTTGGAGGTTGTTTTGTTTGGTCGTTTTTGACTATCCCTGGTTTCCAATTGCAAGAACAATTTCTGGTGATAAAGCTCTAAATCTTGTTGCAGTTTGTTAAGTGTCCTCCAGTGAAACTGTAGCTTTCTTGGTTTCAAAGTACTTCTTCTTCCATTCCTCACGCACTGCACAGGAAAACAGTAATAGTGTTTGGCCTTGTTCACCTTATCCTAAATTCTGCTGAAGACAGTCATGACCAGCTCACCTCACAAGCTTCAGCTGGCCAATGCATAACTGAAACATGGCAAGAGGTTTCTTTAAAATAAACATTTAGTGAAAAAATCTTCATTAAAGTTACATTCACTCTAAATGCAACTGAATTTTCACACAAACACCTGCAACAAAAGGCTCTATCTGTCCACTGAGATAAAACACAGGGTCGAAACACAAAGTTTATTCAGCCTGGTTGTCCTGCAGGTTCTGCTGCACCTAAGTGCTCCTATGAAGAGTGGTATGCCCAGCACAGTCTGAAGTCCACAGCTCTACTGTCACAGAAAATGTAGCATTGTAGATTTAGGCAAAATTTATGCTCTTCGTGGCCAGAGATTTTGAACAGCTTCATTTATTACTGACCTCCCACATTATAGGAGACAGTTACCTTTACACCTCACTGTGATTCCTCCTGTGTTGTCAATGTGCTATCAAGAGGTGGCACATAAATGCCCCTGTATGTGCTGTGGCAGTCTTATGGCCACTGCATGTCTGCAGTGTCTTAAATTAATCCCTTCTTTTGAGGCATATTTTATGGAAGCAGGACAACTGAAACTTATCCAAAAGAGCTCAGCTGTTGCAGGATGACTCTTTGCCAGGTAACAGAGTGCCTGTCAGCATAGCAGTCTTAGGAGGGTATTAAACACAGACTCAGCTGGGTGTTACTGCAGAAAATGCTCTTTCTTTAATATCTTGTAAAGAAACATGCTTGCTACCTGCCCTTGCTTACAAAACTCTTCAGGTCTGATAAAAAATTCAAAGGTACTGATGCTTCCTATAGAATCTGCAGACGCTGTTTGAATCGTTGTGAAATAACCTTTATTTTACCTAACTGGATAACATAATTTAAGGCAATGCAGGTGCCATTTAGGGCTTATCTCTAGTTTGAATTGCAGCTCTATGCTACTACAGATTTACTGCTTCACATACCCAAGTTTGGGGTTTTTTAAATACAAATTCCCCATGCTGCACAGTGCAGTGCAGTCATATCCTTAGAGAATAATTGAAGGAATGAGCTTGTCTCCTTTCAATGAGCTACAAGTAATAGTTGAGACTTGTAATAACTTAGCTACATTTAAGCACAAAGAGAAAGCTCTCAAAACATCAAAATTATTAAATCTCATCTCTGTATATCAGGGATGTGACTTAGGGATGATAGTTTTAAGTATAAACATGAAAATAATTTTATGAAGAAAATTTGTGTGAAATTTCAATGAGATTTGACCTCGTTAAAAATCAAGGTTTGTCAAGCTTGTCACAACAGGCTTGGAAGTTCTATGTCATAAGCTGAATGTCATTGGATAGGAGGAACAAAAATTATTATGCTGCAATTTACCCAAAGCCCTGTCAACAAACCCTGTGACCTTAAGGCAGGATTAGAATATGCCAAGCTGCCCTGGGCCTCAGAGAGAAGCAGCCTGCAGTAGCTCTCTGAGCACTGCACATACAAAAGACACAACTTGAATAGTTTAGGAAAGCCAGAATAACCTTAACTTTATAAGATATGCTACAAATAAAAAAAAAAAGTGGAAGGAAACACTGCAACCTTGAATTTTTCTAGCATGCCATTACACAAAACGAGTCTTCTTGAAGCTATTGGTTAGCAAACTGCTCTCTCTGTAATTAAGCTCACTGACAAGGAGACAAATCTTTTCACATTGGTTTCAGTGTAATTTCTCAATCACTGCAAATTCCAGAATAAATTATAAGTGTACCATAGTATCTCCTCAGCTTATTTTGTTCCAGTAGCCCTTTAGCTTTTTTGCTCAGTTCTTCTCAAGTTTTTTCCATGTGTCTTCTGTCTTCCTTCATTTGTTGCAATTGTTCTACCATCTTGTTTTCTAAAGATATTATAATTATATTTAGCAAGCATTTGAATACCCTAAGTATAAAGGATCAGTCAAGACTTTTGTAATGCACTCAAATTATGCCAAAAGCTCTGTCAGAACAAGCAGCAGAAACAATTTCATTTTAATCAGATTTCATTTTAATCTAACTTTTCAGAATATCTGGTGCTTTAGAAAAAGGGAGAAATCCAGCATGCATCCAGGCTTTCACACACACAGGCAAACAAACATCTTTCTATATGTTTAGACAATATATCACTAAAACTATGTAATCAAGAAATATATTCACTCCATACATTGCAAACTCTCGCCAATGAAGCCAAAAAAGCCTTAAAAGACTATTTCCTGCTTAAAATACATTGCAATATAAACTGTAGAGAAATCTTGCCTTAAACTCCAGCGGGCAGGACAATATCTCAGACTTCCACTAGTCTGCAACAATAGGTCTAACACTTAACTTCTCACTATCCTCCTCCTCAGCAACACTACTTGTGATTTTCTTTGCTACATTCTCACTTGAGCCAGTAGTATTTCATCTGATCTCCCTCCTTTTCTCCTTCCATCCACTTGACAAGTTGGCTTTTCTAGTGCTGGGAACCTGCCAAACTCTAGGACAGCCCATGCAATGATAAATACCTGGAATTTTCTATTCATAAATTAAAATTTGTAACAATACTGGGAATTAATGCATGTATAGTGTAGGTATTTATGTCTTCATTGACTCCAGTCTTGATTAAATGTTCACTTCCTTGCAATTTCTTGGAATCATGTACTCACTTGCTGCCTGAATTACAGGAACTTGAGCTGGATTTACAGTAAATGCCAAAAAAAGTGGACTAGAAGCTGAAATACACTCTTTTGGACAAGTAAGATGATTTTGCTTGTTTCCATCTGCCTATAGAGTCAAAAGACACAACTGTAAGTGCACAACCATAATCCTGAATAGTTACATTAGACACATGCCCTGAAAGTGGCCTGAGTGAACGAGAGGGCTGAATTCGACTTCTGCAGATAGGGTTTTTTATTCTGTTACCAGGACACATGACCACTAAATTACAAACAGCTGGATCTCTGCAAACAAAATGAGAACACTGAACACTTCCATCACAGAGAACATATAGACTGTTGCTAATGGCTCTTGTCCATGCCCATAATCCCCAAATTACTGAGTCCCATGCAAGACCAGGAACGAAGGGCCTTTAAACAGCTACCTGGTTTGTTAATTATGAAATCAAAAACTGCCAATTTCTAAACTAAAACTTGTAATTGCAGATTTTAATTTTTTAAAAATATAGTTTATGTTCATTAGAAAATATGCTAAATAGCAGTACATGAATTAACTTTTCTCAATTATTCTCAAATCTTTCATATTTATAATGAGTCACCAGTCTTACAAAATGAGACTGTTTCTAGGTGGAGGACTATATTTATTGCTCAAGATTAGTAGGAATGTTACCTTGAAAAACATACCTGATTATCCAGTTTTTCACCAAGACCAGCTCTAGTCTTCTTAGGTCTGTTTCGTTGCAAGCTAAAATAAAATCAAAAAAACAAGTGAAAGTTCATTGAGCAAAATGTTTTTTCCCCTCCTTTTCTTTCATTTGTTTGAAGTCTATAAAGTAAGTTTGTATTGGTGAATTAATACTATCCATTATTTTAGAAGATGCATTATTTGCTAACCTTTGTTTTTTGTGGACATAATCTGTAGTTTGGTCTTCCATTATTTTAAGAATTTCAGCATCCTGTGTTCTGTCTCTTCGTAATTTGTATCTTTTTGATGCTCATTATTTTCCATGTTTGCTAGTTCAGTGACAGGATAGTGATGACAAAAATACATAGATTACACTTGCAAAAATCAGGCTGGTTTGACTGTCAATGACTGGATTTTCCAACCTGTTCTGGAAATTCAGTGAATCAGCACAGCTGATTGTGGTGTTATCTCTAGGATTTGGAAATGTTCCATGAATAACAGAAGAAAGAAATCAAGGGGAAAAAAAAGGTATTTTTATTATTAGAATTTATATCTGACTAATTCTGGTGATTAGACAAATGTATCAGCTATAGTAAAGTGTTTATATCAGCATACAGTGATAATGAAGGATTCACAAGGTAAAACCACATCTCTTTGAAAGATATCATCATTATTTTTAAAAAATGGAATATTGTTTTGATAGTGCTATTCCTATTTAAGCTTTTATTAAACATTTCTTAAAATTTATCTTTCCTTTCTAGAACTCTTGCTTTAGCAAAAAAGACAATAACAAGCATGTGTACCTTTTTGATATTTAGCGTGATTTTGGGGTCTTTTGTTACCCTGGCCTTGCTCATCACTGTGGTTTACATGAGTAAGAGCAGTTCCTGTGGCTTTGTAATTCCACTTAGGAGCATTGCAGTCTTCTTGATCTTGGCTGAGATGATTCTGCTCAGAGGTCTGTAATACAGGGTCACACATTCCAGATTCCTGGTCTGCAGGATTTGAATGACATAATAATTGATAATATGAAACAGAGATATTATTTTACTGTAAATGTTAACTCTAAGATTTATTTTTCTTCTCATTCATCACCCTACTTCACTACACTGGTAAAGCTTACCTTTTTCTTCAAACTGTTTTTTTGGAATACTGTTGTTATTGTCTTGCTTATTGTTTGTGTGTGAAACTGGAACAGGCTCTTTCTCACCCCATTCCACAGGACTGGGCACTTCCAGATTTTCTACCTGATGCCTGCTTCGTATACTTTGTAAAAATGGTTTGCCTTTTTCAGGTTTCTGTTGGGAAAGGCTGGATAATCTTGATCCATGACCAAACCTATCAGCTTCTTCACTAAAGTGATGTTTTTGCTGAGGTGATGATGGCAAAGGATAAGCATTTTCAGAATATTCCACTCCAGGTAATAAGTATAATTCAGGATGAAGTGCCTGAAATTACAGAGTTTATCCATCAGACAAGACAAAGAAAATGTCCAATGTAAAGTTTCTGTAAATGGTACCTTACGAGCCATGCAGTACTTACATAAGGAGGAGCAAATGACTTCAGTTCCAGTTCTGTTTCCTGCTTTGCTTTCACCTCGGAAGATAAAGTATGGAAGTGTAACAAATTCAATACGTTTTTCATCAATAGTGTTGCATGTAACATATGAATTCTATTGTCATTTTTACATACTGCATTGTTTTATAACCATCACTATAATCTGTAGTGGCCTTATGGGGTAAAAGTATCTCAGACTACATTTGTATTTTCTGACAGAGTTCTGAAACTGTATATTTTCAAAATCTTACTCAGACCCACAAGATTACATGCATGTACTGAATGTTTTATTATCCTTTGTACTTTCTCTTATGGTTCAAAGGACATGATCCAACAGTCACAGGAAGAGAAAATTTTCAACTTTATCAAAAGTTGCTTCAAGCTGAATCTGGACAGAAATGTTGAGTGTCACATAATTTTCTCTATTTATCTAATACAGTATTGCAAAATATTGAATGTATATGGGAAAAAATCGAATATTATCCTATGTCTTCTTGTATTTATTGTTTCCCTTCATATTATTTTTATGGCATACAGTTTCACATTTCAACAGCTGTCCTAAAAACAAACTCTAAAATAGTCAATATATATTTGAAAGATGTGTTCCAATGTAAGGAAAAGAAATCTGAGCTTACATTCAAATAATTATATTGAATTAAACATACAGGTTATATGCAATAAAGAAAGAGCAAATGAACATTATTTTAGTTTATGTTTATCTTTTAATTTAAAAGACGCTTGCTTGCAAGTAGGGCATAGCTCTTAGTTCTGCTTACATTGTTAGAGTTGTGAAACAGAAGACTAAGGGGAGAGAACACTCAACAAATATTTGATCATGGAGATGTAATTCAGTGAGGTTACCATGACCCTAAACAACAAATAAAGCAGTTGGTTTATTGCTTTACACTTTGTTATAAAGTTAAACATCAAGCAACAGTACCTCAAAGAAAATAACTCAAAGAAAAACTAACTTTCATTTGTCTCTACAAATCTTCATGGATGTTACCAGTATCTTTAATTCTCTATTAACATAAAATACTTTATTCATTTTCTGACATTATAAAGGCTGGAAAATTTCTCCATTTACCTCTGAACTATGTGGAGAAGAAAATTAATCATCTTACTTATTATCATCCAGTTAAGAAGACCTCAATTCACTAAAAACATATGCCTACTTTCCAATTAAGTTTCTTTTAATGTTTTTCCACCTAGTTTTTGCATATTACTTAGTATTTATTCTAATCTTCTATGAGAGTGATTTTAGTGATAATTCAACTGGAAATGAAATAAAGCATGACACCAAATTTCCTGTTTGTATTTAATTTCCAAATCCATGAGAAAGAGGTAAAATGAGACTTGGAAAAAGTGTTCTATAATTACATAAATTACTTAAATCTTTGTGTCTTACATGAACAAACTTTCAATTGGACTAATTTTGAAGTTTATTTAATCTTTAGCTATACTTTGTAAGATATATATGTAGAATTGATGTGAGGACCAGTTATGATTCACACATGTAGGGGTTTTATTACATCTCAGGCTGCATTATTGGACTAAACGGTGGAACATCTAGAGAAGCTTTCATTCAGAGAATTATGTCTTAAATGCTTTTGGGCAGGTCACAGCAGGAGCCATTAGAAGAATTCTGACTGAGCTTCCACTGCAAATTTGTCAAATTAATTATTCCCAACTGTGTACAGGTAGTAATGGACTTTTGGGTTTAGGGTTTTTTTAAATGAAACCAGATTTATCACATTTATCACATTTGGACTTATCAAAACCATTATATTTTCAATGGACGGCAACTAATTACACCTGTTGCTTTAAAGGGTATTTCTAATACAACTGTCCAGCTTTGCCTTTGCACTTGGGGAAGCAGATATGATCTGACAAGAGCTTATGCTGCAGCATGTTTAAAAGAAATGCTAACAGTGCTCCTAAATTTATCTCTAGTTTATGTGGTATTATCTCATCTGCAGGAATGAAATCTCTGCTTTACATTATAAAACAGAAGAGCACCAAACTAAAAAAAAATAACTTACCACTACTGGTTTTTTCCCAATGCATTTTAAAAATCTGAATTTATCTGCAACTGTCACTCCACCCAGGTACTCTCCAAGCCTCTCCCGCAGCACTCTTAATGTGATGTGAGAAGACACCCTAGAATGTTGTCATTCATTAATACATCTGTAAGATCAAATAATGATGGCTAGTTAGTAGGAGGAGGAAGATAATGGTCTGTACATGCTGGCTTGCACAGACAGAATGACCAAAACTGGGAACTGTGTCCTAGAACTGAACCCAGTTACAGCCAGTCTTGGTGTGGCACTCAGAACACTCCACTGTAAGGGCTGTCCTAACATTAACCAGCAAGATTCACATTGTACCAGCCTCATACAAAGGGAGAATATGGAAGTAGACAAAATATGAAATTTACTTCTTCAGAATGCTGTTGCTCATCTGCAGATGAATAACAACACCTCTGGAAGCTACAGTCATGAACTTCCATTTAAGTGACACAGTTTCATGGGGCTGGACCAGGACTCTTGAACATTCCCTTCAAGCACCCAGGGCCAGAGGAGCCTTCAGCACTGTCCACTTTAAGCAGCAGGCAAATTCCTTTGCTTTTGTCTTCTCCAGCACAAATTCACAGTTGGGTGTGTGCATGAAAATGTATTTTAAATAAAAACCAAACACTGCAGTGTGAATATTTCCACCATGATTTGAGGATGAGAATGCTGACACAAATGTGAATTGCATCATTCAATGTACTACATGAAAGTATGCAAATATTTAGGTAATGAGCCCAGTAGAAAAATCACTAGAGAATAAAAAGCATCCATCTCTGCACAATAAATCCAAATGTTCCAGAGGCATACCAAATACCAATTGTTCTATGCTGCCATATAAGAAACCAGAGAACAAATGCAGGCTGTTAATCACCCAGACTGATTTAATGGTAGGATGATTTTGGCCCAGGCAGCTCTCACACCTCAAGCAAAGCACAGGCATTGGGGGATAGCACATGGCATTCTCAGCAAACAGTATACACAAGAACCTGCCCGGCCTTCCATTTGAACAGGTCTTCAACATTACCCTGTCAAGGTTTGTTTGCACTTGCAAGCAGCCCTACAGGCCTTCAGTTCACACCTCAAGCATGTAGTAAAAACACTGCCATTTTCATCTCATGAACACAATACTGCAGTGGGCTACAGTGTTTGCCTTGTATTATTTCAAATACCTTGGACTTAGAGGACTCTCCTCAAGATGATAAAACTGCCCTGGAGCACAGGCAGGAGGCAGAGGAGACCAAAGTCTGCAGAGTGGACACATCTACAATGTATAATGGGGGGAAAGTATCTAGGTATCCAGATCCTGAGATGTAGGGCAGAAATTTATCTAAAAAATTATTTGCCAGTGCAGCTGCTAGGAAAATACAATAATGTTAGTCTGTCACTTGCTGCCACTGGCTGGCAGAAAACAGTCACATACCAGTCACTTGCTTCAGGGTGTCCCTTTAAAAGTTATGCAAACTAGAGTTCATTACAGCCATCTCATCTAGAAATAATAAAAGTTTGGCTTCTATGGTGAGGAATGAAAAAAAACTCAAAGAGGCTAAGAAATCAAGTTCATGGGAACAAGAACTCAGGGCCATAGACAATTACACCCTTAACATCTTCCTCTAATTTCACAGCTAATGGAAGTAGCCTGTACTTTGACCTAGGAATCCTTTGGAAAGCTGACTCAGACAGCACTAGGATTGTCAAGCTGACTGAACAACACAGTTATCAACAGCTTCCAAGCCACAGGAATATCAGCAAGGCTGCTATTCCCTCTCCTGGATTATAATAAAAGAGGTTTTTAGGTTTTTTTATAAGACAGTGATTCACTGGCCAGGTACTAGTTATTGTTAATGCTAATGTACTGCAGCATTGCATAGTACCCATAGAAGAATTAATTAGCAATTATCTAAGGGTCATTAGCAAGCAACAATACCCAGACAGATATAAACCCACTGAAATCAGTGAGGATCCTAATTTAATTTGATGTCTCAGTGAAATAAATTTACACTAGAAAATATGGAGTAGTGGCAGATGTCCATGACATGAAATGAGGTTATCACTTTAGACATGTATTCTACACCTCTGCTGCAGACTAGAACAGCAAACAAAATGGGTATATGCACTTATTTTCTCTGATTTTGCTCAGCCTTTCAACAAAAGTAGCTGTGAGAATGAATACATTCTGCCCTACATGCTCATACCTGACTGCTGTCAGTCTTTTCAGCTACAGTGTGTATTGTCTTAAGTGGGTAACACAAGACTCAATTTAAATTAATTAAAATGTCTATTCCCCACAGTTTTAGCTGAATTGACAGGTTTTGCACAGATGTAGACAAGGTGCATGTAAAAGCTCAGTGTCATTACAAATCTTTACATTATCTGATTTTTCTACAACTTCTCACCACACTAGATACTAGATTTTGTGAGCAAAGTGTTTAGGAGTATAATAAAAACTTTCAAAGTTATGACAGATTAAAAATGCAACTCCCTGCGCCAGGCTTGAGCCTAGGACTGGGAACCAGGGTATTCTTTCAGTAAGTCCTTTAAACAGCTACCTGAGAGCACACCCAGTACATGGTGTTGTGCACAGCCTTTCACTGCTCAAGAAGAAAGAGGAAATGCTGCTGGTTCATGGGCTGTAACGCTTCCCCTTGAGAAACAAGGCATCAGCTCTTCCTCTGGACTGACAGAGCACAGATCATCATACCCCTGTTCCTGGGAACTGACAGGCTATCCTGTCTTCATAAAGCCACTGTCTTGAAGCTGGCCCATTGCCCAGAAGAATTCCAGATTTTGATAATCAGACTCAGGGAGACAGAAAGAATATAAGATATGATTTTACAATATAAATCATTCTGCAGAAATACTAGCACTGCTCTGGAAGTGCTTTTCAATGTCTACACCGCGGGCTGCAAGGGAGCTAAGCCTGACAGAGTACAAATTAACATAATGCTAGTTATGGTCACCACTTACACTCCAGAAATTCAATTAGACAATGAGTTTCTGCTGCAGATGTAATCGTGCTCTCTAGAGCAACAGCTGGACTAAAAATTGGACTGAAGGACAGTGTGAAGGACCTACCACATATATGAAACCTAAAACTATACTCACCTTATAAATCAGCTGACACAAATTTGCTTTTAAGAGCTACAGGAACTGTATTCCGCTTGAAGTTCCACACTTCTGCTGGGACATAAAACACATGAAGCTCCAATAGCTAGAAAAAAGAACAGATGCAAATGTATTATCATCCTCTTCTTATACACTTTGTTTTGTTTAGGTGGACTTCCAATTTGTGTAGGCAAGAATGGTTCCCTTGGTATTAGCACAGGGACTAGAACAGTGAGGCCCTGTCTCACAGCGATGACTAGATTGTGAGAACAGTGACAGCAGAATAATTTGTGACTGAGTGCTAGCTGACAGCATCTAAATAAGTCACATTAGAACAAGCTCTCCAATGGAAGTGAGATAATAGAGAGCCTGTGCTACTGCTGTGTATCGCTGTGACAGCAATGGAGAGATCTTACCAAAAACAAGTGATACTCTGGAGAGTGTCATGACTACAAGAATTCCTCAGCTGAAATCCTACCTTTGTTCATCTCATAAAAAATGCAAAGCCCTGAAAGCTTGATTCAAATAGCACCACAACTTGATTGTGTCATCAAGAAAAAAAATTCAAAATATTTCTGATTTGTTAATAATATTAGCTACCTTGGAAACACAAAAATGCTCCTGCTAATGTCTGCAAAAGGAATAACTAAGCTGGCTCTGAGCAAGGTTCGCTTGGGCTGTGTTTGGACCCATGGTAGTTGCTGCACTGCTAATTTCCAGCTCTTGATATTTTTAGTAAAAATCAGATAGTATTGACAAGGATTATATACTTTCGTTTAACTAAAAACCATGCAAATAAGCTATAATAAATATTTCTACAAGTCTTGAGTTACTTAATATGAACTAGAAAATAATTATTTCTATATATACTATTTTAAAAGCACATATTTTTTCCCTCTCAGGTATTCTAGAACCTTGTTTTAATGTATTTTTATTTTTTGATTGTGAAATCTAAAAAATCTTTGTGAAAAGTGGAAAAAACTCTCACCTGTGAAGTTTGAGGTCTCATTTGACTCAATGACATGTTGGTCCCTCTATGTGACCACAGCAAATGCCAGGTGGGCTTTCTAATTTTGTTTTTGATTGAAGCATTCTTTAAGAATGAGTTTCATGATAATCTGTTATGACAGAAGTTACTCCATAAATATCCTTTTTGGCATTTACTGATCTTTATTCCATTCATGAACATGGAAGTTGTGTCTGTGCTGAGACAGAAAGCTTCCAGCTAACTGCAAACAGAATCAACCACACCTTCTACACAAGGGAGTATCACCTAAGTAACTGGGGGAATTGCTGAATCACAGCCCTGTGCCCCTAAGAGATCTGCCCTAGAGCATTTTCTCCCCTTTCAGAAAAATATTTTGGTAGTATGCAATTTTCTACACAATTCCACTGTTTTCCTAAAAACACAGACCTAAATCCCCACAAAGCAAGATTCTTGCAGGACCTGGATCTGATAAAGTGATCATTATTATGAACTGGAGCAAATCCATTGTGCCAGCCAAATGCAGTGTTCTGAGGAAAAGTGACTGTGCTGGGCAACCATGTCAGAAAAACCTTCCATAACTTATAACCATGGTTCTGTCCTAACATTGTCATAGAATCATGGAGCGATTTGGGCTGGAAGGGACCTTTGAAGGTCAGCTAGTGCAAGCCCTGCAATGAGCAGGGACCCTTCTCACTTGGCCAGGTTGTCCAGATCCCCAAGTCCAATCTGACCTTCAATGTTTTCAGGGCCATCTCCCATCTCTCTGGTTAACCTGTTTCAAGCTTTTACCACCTTTAGTGTAAAAAACTTCTTCCTTTCATCAACCCTCTCTCAGTTGAAAATCATATTGCAACAGGCCCTGCTAAAAAGCTTGTTTCTTTTCTATCTTTCTCTTTTTGTTAGGAGTTTCCTTGGTGTTCTCGCTTTGAAGGCTCTTCCAGCCCCTCTGAGGTTACAAACTTCTGGATTTTCAGCCTGCTGAACTCAGGTGCTGCTCTGCTCTCAATAGATCTCTCTACTCCTCCTGCTTCTACAATTCACCTACGAGTGACCAGACCTTCCAAGTCTCACTCAGGCGTAGTGGAATTAAGATTTCCTCATGTCAGTGGGAAATATCTACTTAACGGGGCCGTGTCTTTCCCTGCAAGCTCCCGAGCGTGGCACCCCACGGCCCGTCACTGCCCGCCGCGGGCAGGCCCAGCACGGGCTCCTGCCACGGCCCCTCGTACCGGGGAGATGCTGCACCTCGCAGCACCCGATGTCACCCCAGGCCTCACTTCACTGCCGATCCCGGGCACCTTCTGCAATGAACTACGACTAGCAAACTGATCCTCCAGGCTACAGCCAACACTCAAACTGCTAGCGCGAACTCAGTCAGGAACTTCATTCATTACATCTCAACCTCCAAACTTGGAACCCAGTGGATATCATCAGCAAGATTCGCCACCTTGGTGTGCAAGCAGCCTCCCGTTCCAGTCCCCACCATCAATGTTCAGGGCAGGGGTAGTTTCTGTGCCGCGGGCGGGTCCCGTCCCGGGCACACGGCGCGGCCCCGCCCGCCCGGGCCCGGGTGCGCAGGCGCCGCGGGTCCGGAGTTGTGGCCGCGCCGGGAAGTTGTGCTGGGAGTGCCGAGCCGAGCCCGCCGCCGACCCCGCCATGTCGGGCTCCTCCAACGTGGCGGCCATGAAGAAGGTGGTGCAGCAGCTGCGCCTGGAGGCGAGCGTGACCCGCGTGAAGGTGAGCGCGGAGCCGCGACGGGACAGGACGGGGCGGACGCGCCGCCATTTCACGCCCCGGGGCCGCGCCCGCCGCGCCGGGGCCGGGCCGGGGCCGCCGGCTCCCACCTGCCCCGCCCCGCGGACCCGGCTGGGCGGCGGCGCCCGGGCTTTTCGGGGCTTCTCCCGGGGCTCCGTCGGGGTTCCCCCGCCGAGGCGAGCCCGGATCGGCAGCGCGGCCGCTCCACAGCCACTCCTGCCCGGGGCTCGGCCGCTCGCTCCCCGCCGCCCCTCGGGCCCGGGGCCGCTCCCCGGCCGAAGCGCTGCCCGGGGCGATGGACGCGGCCCGCGCTGCCCGTTCGTGCCCTCGGAGCCGGGAGCGCCCTTCCTTCGGGCTCTGCCGAGAGGCCGCCTCAACAGGCTGGGCTGGCCCCGGCACGGCAAGATGGAGATGTCGCTGCCAGGCACACGAAGCGCATTGAACTTGTGCCGCGCCGGGGCGAGACCGCGCCTGGCACGGCAGAGAAACCGGGCAAACTGCAGACACCGAGTGTCAGGGGAAGATGCAACTTTTTGAAACTTCGATCGTTCTATTTTATGAGTTCAGGGTTACGGCAAAGAAAAGCAAGGCAAAGAATTTTTCACTGTTCAGTTTTTAGGAAGGTACAGCGTGCCAAAAACCCCTTTATCTTTATAAGGATGCTCAGAACCCCATTGTCTTATCATAAGGATGGCTTTCCAAGGGAGCCTGAAATATGAGTTCAGTCTAGTAGAACATGTTAAACCATAAGACAGTATTTTTAAATTATTTATGCTAGAAAAAGGATCTTCATATATTTAATAAAATCATCTCCAAGATCTTGCTCATGTGTCACCCTTCATACTTAAAAGTTTACCAAGAAAACGAAAACTTCCAAATCACTTCTCATTCTTACATTGTTCATCTTCTTGTATTTAAGAAACAAAAAAAACTACAATGAAATTATTGCATAAAATCTACATAAACTGTATTGCAGAATAATTTAGTAGTATTCTTTATACTTTTCAACATAAAAACCACATCCTCGGTAAAGAGTGTTCAGTGAATTCTAATGCCAGCTTTTATTATAACTAGGTTTCTCAGGCTGCAGCTGACTTGAAGCAATTCTGCCTGCAGAATGCACAACATGATCCCCTGCTGACGGGAGTATCATCAAGTACAAATCCATTCAGACCCCAGAAAGTTTGTTCATTTTTGTAATTATGTCAACAACTACAGTATCTTTCAGTGGTAAGTTCTTGAATTACAATCCATAAACTTTTGTCATTTAAATGAGACAGGCTCTATGAAAGGCATTCAGTAACATCTGACTTGTGCAGGTGGTGTTGGTCTAGATCCCATTTCTGGTCCCTTCTTCCCTTTTCTGGTCATAGCTCTGTACTGGACACATGCTGGCCATAGGCATTATGAGCAGCACTGTGCTGTTGCAGAGATTCCATCAGTTTGTGTTGCTGTAGCAAAATGGTGGGACCAGCTACTACTGAGCTGCTGTTTGGACTAACCCAGCTGAACAGTAATTGTGCTGTGCTCTCTGTAAGGGTATTACTTCTCTTTTCTCACATAGAATTAATCACCTGACAGCATATGTGGTGAATCCTGATTTTGGCAGATAAAACAGATTTCAGTTCTTAAACTTTTAAAGAACAATTCCAAAAACAGATTAGTGGTGTGGTCCCCAAGAAGAGCACTGACTACTGTCGGGGGGAGATGCCCTCTCTGCCAAAAGAGAAAAGTATATACTTTTTAAGAAGTATTTACTTTTAAAAGCCCATATGCAACTCAAGTAAGCTACTACAGGAGTAGCAGTTTAAATAACTAGAAACAGTGGAACACTCATTTGGATTTTCATTCCAGAACTTTTATAGATTCATTAGCACTACTGCTATCACTCATCTGCCATTTTGGTGACTAGATTTTAGGCTAAGCTCTTTAGAAAGGTGAGTTTTAGATCCACAATAGTTTCACCAAAATTCAGTCACAATAACTTGGTTATTTTGACCACAGTAAATGCATGCATGATGATTTTACCGTGTTCCCTTTTCCTGTTGCCCCTTGACTTGAAACTGTTGGAGATGAGAGCACAGATGTTATTTCAAAGCACCTGCTACACAGTTAACTGTAGTTCACAATCCTTACAAATCTCATAGCGAGTTTTAACCTTGAAAAATTCTGTTTATGTAGCTGACTCTATCATCCAAAGAATTGTAGTTTCCTAGATTTAAATTGTGCTGTTAGGCAGCTTTATAGAAAAGTGACCACAGTTAGATTGAATTTTTAAAATTATTCTCCTCTCAAGCAGACTGTAGAAAAGTTCCAGATGTGTGTGCTAGCAGTATAACCATGTTTAAAGACCAGAGTAGTAACAGTATAGAAGTTGATACTTAACCATTTAACAAGCAAAACCACTTCCCACATTGTTTTGAGCAGAGGATTACAACAGTATAACTGAAATGTGCTTCAGAGTTCCTGCAGCTTTTAAAGTTACTTCTATTGTGAATTTTTGCCAATTACTGATATTTAGAAAATACTCTTGGGTGCTACACAAGTGTAGCTTCAGCTGTAAGCACTAATCCAAGGAAGAAATCAGATCATCTGTAAGCATTATAGACTGATAATTTATGCAAAGGCAAATAAACTGTACTTAATCTGTGACACACACGATTCCCCACCGGGGTCTGCCAAGGTTAAGAAATTCCTGGATTCCTGGGTGTGGATGTAGGGAAGCAATGTTTCCTCTGTCTCACATCACACCTGCATACACAGGGCATAGAAGGCTTAATATTTTTATTCTCTGTTACAGCCTTTGGAATGGAACTAATTTCTGTTTTAGTTACCCTACCTATATGTGAAACTCCTTCACTTTGCAGTATCTGTTGCAGGCACTTCCTGAAAAAAGGTGATTCTTTGTGGTTTTGGTGAACCAGTAGTGTTCGTGTATGCAGTCAGCCCCACCTCACTGAAGAGGAAGTGTAATTTGTTAAGTTACACAACAAATTCCTTGCTTTTCAAAGGCAGAATAGAAACCTGGTGTTTTGGTGAGCACAAAGTGACGGAAACAGCTTCTTCTATCCTTCCACTTAGCAGTTTGGTTTCAAGGGGACACTAAGCTTCAGTTTTTATAAAAGCTTTGATTATCTTATTGTATCTTTGGGCATGACTTAAAATTTTATTAGTTTCAAAAATAAACAGCTGGGGAAAAAAGAGTATCTTTTCCTAAATAGCTGTCCATGGCATACTCTAAAACATAAGTATTCTTTGATTTGTCTCATTTAGTAGTGATACCTTTCTAACTAGATTTTGGTTTTGTTTTTCAGATCTTTTAGCATCTTTTCCTACCTGCTGATGTGTGTATGGGCAGAGTGCCTCAAGGAGTGGCCTGGTTTGAAGTCTGTAAAAAGCTTAGCTTTAATGTGCCAAATCTAACTTTTAAAGTGCTACTGTCGTCAAACTTCTTACCATCTACCTCTCCAGATGAACTGTATGCTAGTTACGTATTTCTGTTTCATACGGGAATCAGTTTTATACGCCAAGCAAAAAATAAAAGTGTCTTGACTTAGTCTGGTCTTGAAATTACTGTAAGAATTTTACTAACTTCTGGCTGTGGTTGCACCTCAATCAGTGCATCACTCTGGAGAGCAGAGAGAGCGGAGTGTTAATATTCTCTGCTGCTGCAAGTCTGCCTGGGGTTAACAATCCTTCAGAACAATAAGGCTCCAGCAGTACCATACTTAGAAGCATAACAGAAATAGAACAGAAAAAAAATTGGGACTGTTTATAATTCAGCTATACAGCTGTGCCATATCATAGACATTACATTAAGGCAGAGTAAATTAATCTTAACAAGTAATTCTACCCCAGGAGATAACTTACTCTATTTGCCTTCTTATTTATTAGGTAAATATGATAAAGCACTTACAGCTGTATATGAAGAGAAAGTAGTTCAAAGAAAACTTGACCTTTTAGCTGCCAGTGAATGTGCCAGCTTAAGGCAAAACAGTAGTTTATGTGCAGGTAATACAAACTCAAGTGTTGCTCTGAGGCTGAACAAACATTTTTAAAATTTTAATGGGGAAAACCCTGCTCAGAGACCTCACCCAGTCACTGAGCAGCATTTTTAGATGATAGCTTTATGAACGTCCTGTAAGGGGGTTTTATGAATTCTTTCCCCATCCCTTCCACTTCTTTGGGTACACAGACCTCTTGTCAATGTGATACTTACAGAAGAGATGCCTGTAGGAGTTTGCATATTGTTTTTGTAACTTTAGCAACATGCCTATTTTATGCAAAATGCTAATGAAATAAAATACCATGGATTCCATGGACTGCATCCTGCCTTCTCCATGTTCTCTGGATAGGAGAACCTTTTTGGAAAACTATCCCCATACTGTCAGGGAACAGCATACCGTAAGTTAGGAATAAGTTTCAAATATTTATCTCTTACCTGATTAACTGAAGATGTGTGGGTTAACAGAAAAAATAAAATGGAACTATAAAACTAGAAATACTTTATTTTGAATATTTCTTTAACCAACATATTTTCTGTCTTTGATGTTGTGAAGCATAATCTGTTTCTAGACCACAGCAGCACTTCTGGCAAATCCTTAGTGATTGCTAAATGATAAGTTGCTAAAACATGGTCATAGTTTTTCCTGCTAAACTGGAAAAAGTCACTGTTCTTGTCACGTTGGCTACAAATAGGAAGAGAGAGGCACATCGTACTTGATCAGCTGCTGTTTGTCTTTCTGCAGACAGATACTGTTCAGTAGTATCTGAACAGTAGTCCAAGATCATTAGTAGTCCAAGATCATCCATAGCTCAAAGCAGCTGCTGTATTCTTGGTCACTTACAAGTGGAATCTTCTTCTACTTGTGTCCATTTCTCGACGCTGAAATTTAAAAGGAAAGTTGTTTACCAGTAAGGTCTTGCAACAGGATGAAACACAAACAAGGATGACCACTCCATTTTATAGCAGGGCAAACAGTGAAATGTAGTTATTGTAGAGTTACAAGTAAGTAGTTATGGTATATTGACATTCATTATCCTTGCTATTTTTATTTTTTACTTGAAATACAGCAAGATGTTTCTGCATTGCATGATTCTCAAAATATACTTCTAAACACTTAAGTTAAATATTTCCACACTGAGAACTGCATTTATGCCACTTTCCTAGGGTAAGAGTTTTGGTTACATTTCATGTCAGATTTAGCCTCCCCAGGCATGACTATTATCATTACTAAGATATACCTTATGAATCCACTCATATTCTCCATATTTGGAATCAAAGGTTCCTTTTTGAAGTGACCTCAGCTTCAATGTAAAACGAGGCCCAAGTTCTTGAATTCCCACTTTCTTTTCACTCTTGAAGATATATCTTGGGGAAGAAAATAATTAAAATTAGGAATTCAGTTACAAGAGTATTCTCTCTCACTGGTAAATGAGTATTGTGGAAAATGCCACCTGTGGAATCTGAAGAAGATGTAGTCTCTCTGGTTGTGAAATGTGGCTACTTGTCTTCCAATGAACTGAGGATCATGTGGGAAGAGAGCAGCAAACATGCGGCCGATGGAATGGCCGAGCCGCGTTGTGAAATTATTCAGGATCACTTCAGGGACGTGTTCCGTGGGCTCCTTCCCTTTTCGCTGAAATTGAAGTAATAAGAATGCAAAGAACAGATTGAATGCAAAAAGATGTTAATGTATTGGCAAAGGAAGTGTTTGAAATAGGAAGACAGGGCCAAAAACATGCCCTAATCATTTTTTCAAACACAACTTACGTTCATAAACAAGTAAAGGAGCAGCTGGTAACATTAGGATCTGTGGTTCAACAATATAAATTCAATGAAAAAGCACAAATAATTTTACGTTTTCTCCTGCACCATTTTTTACTCTTAGCAGAACCTGCTGTAGCAGATAAAGCACTCTACCTGTCATAGAAGTATTTCCTCTGTACTCATACCAACTAGGGATATATGAGAGCATATGGGCTTCTTCTTTAATAAAAACTAATAAAAGATTACTTACTTCAAAGAAGAAAACCCATTTTACTGAAAATTACTTAGGGCTAAGTAAGCAATACTAAGAAGGGGTGACAGGGCTATAGGAACAAGAACTAGGTTTTATTCAAGACAAACTACATCTAATGAAACCTTTTACACTGCTGATTTTATACACCCTACTGTGTGTATGCTAGACATGGGGTACTTTCTACTGTTGTAGGAGATCATCTCCCATTTAATGACATGATTTTAAAAATACTTGTCAGATTATAAAATACTTGGCAGCTAAAGAAATACAGGAAATAAGCCTGAAAATGGAAATACGCTGCTTATGAAGTAGAATATACTAGTCCTTAGCCTTCTGTTAGCTTACCAAAAAACCACATTTATAAGGTCAAGCTGAATCATAACAAAATGCAGTTTTGACAGTTGAAGTAGGCTGGATGTATTTATCATTAACCAACAGATAACACATTTTTCCAATGTTTTTGAGTCTCACCTTTATTTCTTTACGCAAACGCACACTACTCATTCTAAAATGGGCAGTTGGACCATCAGGCAGGTGACTTAAAACAAGACCATCTGTGCACCAAGTTAAAAAAAAAGGCTGGTAAAATCGAGGAACATTCAATGCAAAATGCAGTATTACATTAGAGGTTTAGATCCATAATCTATGCCCAAATTTTTGTTGTACGTTCAAACACACATTCCCAAAGTAGTTAACTAGCTCTCTGAAGGATATCCATTACATGCTAACAAGGGTTATCCTCTATTGCTTTCTCATCTAACAAATTCGCAATGTTTTATCTAGCCAGAAAAAAAAATAGATCTTCCTTGTCAGAAAAACTTGTTAATTAATCAAACTCTTAAATTTACTGAAATTATAACAGCGCTTATCCGTGTATTACAAATAACAAAAAAATGCCAACATATCTGCACACTTTCTTCAATAATTCCAAGTTCCATTAGCCATCAGACACTCAAGTTGGCACAGTGATTTTTAGCTCTGTAATTTGCACTGTGAAGAGAAAGAAAACAGAATAAAGCAGATCTCTGATGCACAGAACAGAATTGTTTTTTTCCCCTGATAAATACACAAAAGGATACTTGGTATTTTGCGATCTTCATTAATGACAATTAAATCTGTGAAGTCCCTTGCAATACACTGAGGAATGATTCTTTTCAAAGCCAGTCCTCTTCGATAGTAGACATGTGAGTTGGGTATAACAGTAGCCAGCTGCTCACAGAATCTCACTGTTCTCTGCAAAACAGGAGAGTTAAATTGCAGCATGCAGAACTCAGCACTGACTTCAGCTGTTAGGAGAACAGAGGGCTGGTCATTCCAACTACACTCCCTGAGCATATATTACTTCCAGTATCTTCATAAAGATTTGAAGATAAGCTATTAAATCACTTTATTAAATTACTTCATTCAGCTAGTGTAAAAACACTTATTTGCAATAAAGACTGCAGCACACCAGAGAGTTTTTTAAGGACTTTTTTTCCCCTGCCTCCATCACAAAAAACAGGAAAATGCAAAAAGCATACTCTCCACACTCATTATTTATAAAGCACACTGGTTTACAAAAAGTTCACAGCATCTCAAAATACAACATAACTGTTTCTTCATGTACTCATGTCTGAGTTTTCAGATAAACTGCTTGAGGTGTACTTTATTTTTAAGGCAATTTCTTTTATGGTTTTCAAAAATGTCAGTAATCTCTTCAGTCGGGCAGTGCTGATCATTTCAATACAAGAACACGTGCACAAAGTTTGTTTTTTTCTTATGGAGGAAACTCAGTGATAGAGAAACCAACGGATTACATACACATACAAAGATATTGTTGGGCACTACATAAAATCACAGAAAAATCCATGTGAATGCTATTATTTTCAGTTTGAATGTAACAATCACAGGAGGAAAACCCTGGTATCTTAAAACCATTTGGTTTCCAAGTAAAACATACATACCCCACGAGGTCGGTCTGATGTGGTAATAAGAATTTTGGGAACAGTCTGCCTATTGAAGTATGGTGCAAATTCATCAGTTGCTTCATCAAAAGCAACCTGAAAGAACAGAAGTTTTGTTAAATCTACCATGTACGAAATAGCTGAGGAACAAGTGTTCAATCTGATCTAAATTTTAATTCACAAGATCTGTTCTGTAATTATTCATCTGAAGGTGTGTGGTTTTCATGTTTTTAAGAATCTAGTGTGATGAACATGGGCAGCTTTTACTGCCAGTATCAGTGTTGCAAAAAGCAATTATTTAATAAAGATAATGAAAGAATGACATCACCTCTTAGTTAACCCATCATTTGTAAAAAATAATTCATCAACAGATTAACAGGAAAGTATTCAGTTTCAGCAATCAGTTTATGTCCCTTGTTAGAAAAAAAATTATTAACTTATTAGCACATGCAGTTACCTCTTCATCATTGGGATCTACAGTGGTTTCATCATACACTCGCTGATTTTCAATAGTCTTTGGTACGGCTTTTGGAGGTGCCTAAAATACATAAAGTTTATTAACATTATATATCTATGTCATTATTAAATGT